AAAGACCTGTTAGGCCATGTCCACACGGACACGGGTATTTTTATAACCGGAGTTTTTCCTACAGCGTTTTTAAAAAAAATCCCGTCCACACATGCTCGGTCTCCGTCTACATGAAAACGTAAAAACACGCAATCAAGCGCGGTCAAGAGCATGCCACGCCAGCAGGCGGTGATATAAACCTTAACCCTAAAGCCACGTTGGCCAATCAGAAGCGCAAATCTGATGTCAAACACAGCTGATAACGGCGCACACTCTGACGTCGCAAGGCAAAAACCCCGGTTTCACTGTCTACACGACAACACTGTAACCGGCGTTTCTGAAAATCCTCACCCTGGCAGGGGTTTTCAAAAATGTTCGGTTTCAGTGCGTTTTCGTGTGGACGAACGGCCGAACCGCGTAAAAATAGTCACGGTTATAAAAATACCCGTGTCCGTGTGGACAGGGCCTTAGTCTGCCTTTAAAATGTCCACCTCCACTCCATTTATTATCCTAAATTAGATGCACCTGTTTGAGGTCGTTAGCTGCATAAAGACACCTGTCCACCCCATACAATCAGTAAGAATCTAACTACTAACATGGCCAAGACCAAAGAGCTGTCCAAAGACACTAGAGACAAAATTGTACACCTCCACAAGGCTGGAAAGGGCTACGGGGAAATTGCCAAGCAGCTTGGTGAAAAAAGGTCCACTGTTGGAGCAATAATTATAAAATGGAAGAAGCTAAACATGACGGTCAATCTCCCTTGGACTGGGGCTCCATGCAAGATCTCACCTCGTGGGGTCTCAATGATCCTAAGAAAGGTGAGAAATCAGCCCAGAACTACACGGGAGGAGCTGGTCAATGACCTGAAAAGAGCTGGGACCACCGTTTCCAAGGTTATTGTTGGTAATGGTAATACACTAAGACGTCATGGTTTGAAATCATGCATGGCACGGAAAAGATCTAGCTCTGAGGAAGCCGGCTTCCTGGTTTTCAACTAGACGCCGCCTTCAGCCCGCTGTTCTGCTGTGCCATCCGGTGGGCATATATCCTTTTTAAAGCAAACTTAGTGTGTTCGCCGTTGCGACTCACTATCTAAAAGAGCAACGTTTCTAGGCGTTGAGACTCCAGATACACCTGCGCCTCGTGCAGAGGCCCTCTCTTCGGTGCGGATCGTCACATCTTGTGCGCTCCCTGTCTGGGCCGTGACCACGCATGATCTACAAAAGATCTGTGTGGAGGAGTGGGCCAAAATCCCTCCTGCAGTGTGTGTAAACCTGGTGAAAAACTACAGGAAACGTTTGACCTCTGTAATTGGCTACTGTACCAAATATTAACATTGATTTTCTCAGGTGTTCAAATACTTATTTGCAGCTGTATCATACAAATAAATAGTTAAAAAATCATACATTGTGATTTCTGGATTTTTTTTTTTTTAGATTATGTGTCTCACAGTGGACATGCACCTACGATGACAATTTCAGACCCCTTCATGATTTATAAGTGGGAGAACTTGCAAAATAGCAGGGTGTTCAAATACTTATTTTCCTCACTGTATATACATACATACATGCAGTCAAACAGAAAATTATTCTTATATATATATATATATATATAATATGTTATGGGTTAGAAATTATGAGAAAAAATATTCTTAAACATCCTTAATTAAACAAACAACTGGAGGTCACAGGGCCTTTGAATATTGTTGTGGCCAATGAGTTATTGGAGTCAAAAAGGTTGAGAGTCAAAAAGGTTGAGAACCACTGCGGTAGATCCACCTAGCAGACACATTTTAAATATATTACTCTTTATTGTTAGAAAACTCATTTACTGAGATGTCTTGTGTCTGTGGGTTTCTTGTATAGCGCTTCCAATTTGACCGTTTTGTGGAGGACGGGAAGGAGAAAACTGATTTTTATAAATGTGGCCAGAAGGTTCGGTACTATCGAATGCCTTTCGGCTCGGGAGCCACACAGTGTCCGGGACGATTTTTTGCAATGAATGAGCTGAAGCAGTTTGTGTGCGTCAATCTACTCATGTGTGAAATGCAGTTGCTGGACAACGAGCAGGAGGCGATGCTAGACAACAGCCGTGCTGGTCTGGGCATCATGCCACCGGCCAATCAAATCACTTTCAGATTCAGAACCAGAAAACCACAAGACAGCACGGTGGAGAGGGAAGAATGAACTAAATGAATAGAGAGGGACTGTAGTCTGTTTTTTTCATGGGTATTTTACCTTCATTTTCCACAGGGTTATTTCAAAGATTTTGTAAATAATGCAAGCTGCAGTATTTACACATAACACTGCCATGGAAAAATCTCACCTTTAAATTAACTAAGCACGCAGTATACAGTGCAATTTGAATCAGGGTTTGATGCACTTCAGTGAACAGCCTTCTATGTATAGGCTACTATTGCATGAAATAAAGGCAGCTTTTCAAACATCTTACCTCTCATAGTGTTCTTCTCAGTCTTCCCTTTCGAGAGGTCTCTCGTATTGCGCAAGTTAGCTTACGCTATGGGAAAACTCCTTTTCTCGAGAATATTGAAGCCAAATTTTTTTAAACGCAGTGCAGCTGCACAGCAGACATATAGCTGAGCGTCTAGCGTGCTCATTGGCTGTGCTGCGGCCAATGAGCGCGCAGCCCACCAGTATGGCCGTGGCTTATAGTTATATAAGCCCCCATTTTCACCATAGAATTCAGATTTAATCTCCTTCAGCAAGTTCCACTTCGCTGACCTCCGGTTGAGAAGCCTTCACCGCCGCCGTCAAAAAGCCTTCAGCGGAACAAGCCACCTGCTAAGCAGCTCTGAGGAAGCCGGCTTCCTGGTTTTCAACTAGACGCCGCCTTCAGCCCACTGTTCTGCTGTGCCATCCGGTGGGATCGCTAGCTGCACGCTTCACAATGAATTCGTCTAAGGTTTACACTCAGGGTACATTACGGCATGTTTTCTATGTATGACGTTCTCAATATAATGCATAATCCCACGTTTATACTGAACAACGTGTTATGGTTATTGTGTTATTGTGTTACAAACGGTGTACGCCAGAGCCGGCTCTGGTGTACGCATAGAACAGAGAGGCGGAGTCAGCAAAGCTCATGATCATTTAAAGTCATATACACTGAAACGGCGTGCTGAAAACAGAGCTGGTTTTTACCAGGTAAAATAAGTGTTTTCTTACAATACTAATGAGAATTTTTAATTAAAGTATATTACAAACTTTTAATTTAGACCCTAAAGAATTGGCTTCAATATTCTCGAGAAAAGGAGTTTTCCCATAGCGTAAGCTAACTTACGCAGTACTCGTTCCCTACTCTCAGGGAACCGAGGTTACGTTAGTAACGAGACATTATCTTGTCACTTGGTGTAAATAACATCATAAACTCATAGAGTGGCAAAGGAGTCACATGGCAGTCGACTGGATTTCATGAACTGCAGCTCATTATCCAGACTAACCTCTAAGTGTTGTACATTAAAAGGAAAATGTTTTTGTTGTTTTACTTTAAATGAAAAAATAAATAGAATTTGATCAGGATTAATCGAGTCATAAAATGTATGATTGTGGAATAAACAAATTACCATTCAAAAGTTTGGGGTTGGTAAGATTTTTAAAACAAGTTTCTTATGCTCACCAAGGCTGCATTTATTTTTTTATTTTTTTAATCAAAAGTGAAATATTATTGTTTTCTGTTTAAATGCATTTTAAAATGTAAAGCATTTTCAGCATCATTACATCTGTCTTCAATGTCACATGATCCTTCAGAAATCTGCTCAATATTAATATTTTTGTGGAAACCACAATAAATGTTTTCAGGATTCAGCATTTATTTGAAATATAAATCTTTTATAACATTATGAATGCCTTTCACTGTCAATTTTGATGTAATGCATCCTTTGTAATTTAAAATATACATTTCTTAAAAAAAAAAATCTTACTGACCCCAAACAATTGAATGAAAATGTACACAAGTTTTTTATTTGATTTATCTGTATTGGATATTTAATTGGGCATGCTCATTTACCTTATTTTTACATTTATATTGCCTTTGCTGTCAGCTAATGCTAACAAAGTACATCTTTAAAAATATCTAATCATTTAATAACATTAAATGATGTTTTATTAAGGGAGGAGCACATTCAAATGATCTCCATGAGAGGAGGTCTCAAATTTTATTTCTGCATCCTTCCTCCACCACATCTCCTCACACTCACCTAGTTCCTATCCTAACCAGAGATATGTGGATAGCATGCCAAATACACATACTCTTTAACTCCATTGTAGCGTCTGGACCAATCAGACACACAAGTTATTACTATCACAACAAAGGTCTGTAAAACTTCCCCCAAATCAAGCCAACACACTGGCAGAACTCGGTGTCCTGTTACAGGACACAGTAAGACTGAAGTTTTACGACCCAAAAGAATGTGCAGGGAATTGTGACACTCTCTTAATTCTTGCTGAGAAAAAGAAATGAACCCTTTTAATCCTATATATTCTATACATATAACCATGTGATAAATGTATAAACATGTATCTAATTTTCCATCTCATTATTTTCCTTTTATGTGGTTTTATGTCTTCATTCTCTCTTCTCTATTTTGGTCTGGTACATGACTTGCATACTATGGTTAACCAAAATCATATGTGTAGCATGTTTAGTCTCTATAACTCCAATCTTCATCCCCCATTTGTTAATTTACATTACATTTTGCTAACTTTGATGAACCGAGTAATTGGTTGTAATGTTAATGTAGCTACATCAAGTTAACCCGATTAACTGATCCAAATATTCATAATCAATTATAACAAGTTATGATTGATTATTAATATTTCATAGAGCTAGTTTTCAACACCATCTAATAATTTCTAAGTGTGAACTCGTGAAATATAATCTCATCTATTGGAATGGTTTCTCTGTAACCCAACCCAATAATATCAATTCTACACTATAAACTCTACTGATACACACATTAAGATCAAATACAGTTTAGACACAGAAATCAGACAAAGGCATCATGGGACACTTAATACTTTACTGGAATGTTGGAGGTACAGCATGTGCAAAATAAACAATGCAATTCACTTCAACAGCTACTGAACAACACTGTGTAACAAACAAATAAAAAAAATCTCCACATTCTCAATGTGGCTCAAGTTTCTCTTTTATACTGAAATTGTAACAGTCAACACTTATTTTTTTTCTCCCACAAGCAACAAAGATGATGACAATTATTCTTGCATATTAAGATGCCACTTTTCCACAGACTAAATTATATCTCAGGCATTTCAACAGGTGGACACCAGGTAAGCAAGATTGAGGGTCATCGGTCAAAGAGAAAATGTTAGCAGATGTTTTTGTGGAGTGACATTCTTTAGATTATTATTGCATAGGTCAGAAGCCAATGTCAAGTTGTATCTTGTGCTCAAAAACAGCGATGACAAGCATGATGCCAAAGCCCAGGAGTATCCCAGCATTCTGCAGGAGGAAGAAGCCATAGTGACTGAAGCCTGCTTCACTAGCATCATTGTGTAACATCTCAGGTACCTACAAAACACAGAAAAAGAGAACAATTTTAGAGATCACCGTTTCAGTTAGATAAACACAATCACAAAGCATATGCTGGAAATAACCATGTTTTGATCCACACTGAAATTATTCTTAGAAATGCATATAGTTAGATAAACTGTATGTTGAAGATACTGAGGATTAATGTTCTTTTAGTATTTATAACTACACAAGTATTTCATATTTTGAAATGGCTTTTATTGTTATATTTTCTGTTTCCATTTTAATATTTAATTTATTTTTATTTCAGTTATAGGGTACGTTTACACGACAGCGATGCACTAAAAACGGAAACTTTTCTCCTTTGCGTTTTTCACGTACAGACGGCAATGTTGTTAAAAAGATCCTTGTTCACACGGATCCACAAAAAACGACTGAAAACACTTTCATGCCAGGCCAGTAGTTGGCGATGTCACTTTTTAAAGAAACACTACATGCCTATAGACCTTATTCTATGCGGGGTGGTGATGGCGCAGTGGATAAGACACATGCCTTTGGTGTGAGAGACCGGGTTCGAATCCACTGTGAGACACCAATGTGTCCCTGAGCAAGACACTTAACCCCTAGTTGCTCCAGAGGCGTGCGACCTCTGACATATATAGCAATTGTAAGTCGCTTTGGATAAAAGCGTCAGCTAAATGAATAAATGTAAATGTAAATGTAAATTCTCCAGAGAAACAAGCACGAAGCCATCTTTAGAATTTTATCTTTGAACTGCCGTTTTTGCGGTAGACCTGTATATTTCTATGACATCGTTGTCGAAGCATAATTAGCTGGTGAAGTGGATTTACTTATTGTAGAATAAACCAAAGTTATCATTGAGCAATGAGCACTGATTTGCACTCAGAATTAGGTGATTTTTATTTTTATTTTACACAAGTGGAAAAGTACACAAACGTTTTGGCTCCCATATATCATATCTCCACCCACTATTTAAACAATTACCTTTATGTTGATGTCACCATCAGCAAGTTAAATCGATGCTAAATATTAAACGTTTAAAATCTAAAATCACAAAGCATCAACATAGAATTATAATTCATCGACAATTAACCCTTTACAATATAATCTTTCCAGACACATTAACCAATATTTTGTTATTTCTGCTTTATTTCAATTAACAAAAAAGTTTTTCTTTTTAGTTAATGATAACCCTGCTGAGGATGTAGTATTTCTAGTAGACAGCCTTTTGAATCTGTCCTCCTCAAATCACAGCATCTCTTTTTCTGTGTTACTCACCATGTCCACGAGAGCGACGTACATGAATAACCCAGCCGTGAGAGCAAAGATCCACATGGCAACATTCTCGGCATAATGTCCGATCAGAATGCCTGTGATCATGCCCAGATATCCCATCAGGGCTGACAACAGATTGTATAAAATGGCCTGTCGTACTGACATACCCGCCTTTAGCAAGACTGCAAAATCTCCTGCATAAAAGAAGATGATGAGACAGGTGAGTTAGAACAGAAAAAACATTTCATAGTAATGCAATAGACAACAACCTTACTTCTGGTTCCTTCCTTATTCTGACACATTTCTAATGTCAAAAAAACTGCCAGCATGATGACAGAAACAATGTCTTACCCAGCTCATGAGGAAGCTCGTGGCAGAACACAGCAACTGACGTACTCAGACCGCTGGACAAACCTTCAGTGAATGCCGCCCCTGAAATACAAAATGGCACATAATCTGTAAATGCAGTTCCTAAAGCACGGATGCTAAAAGCCTTCACAAAAAAAAGTTCAATTTAATTTTTAAAAGTACATTTTGTTATATGCACTGTAACATACATTCATATTTATGTATCTCTATATCAAACACACATGTACATTATAAAGGCCTGTTTGCTAGGTGATTTGCTAAATCTGCAAAAACAGATGGTTTTGCAACAAAATTGCAACAATAAGTTTATCCCAAGACTGTCTAATAGAGACTGTATATGCATAAACTTTTGTACACTTTTATTGTAAGTCCAAGTTTTAATTTGTTATGCGTGAGTGTGTGTGCGCATGTGTAAAACTTACCTATGGCAAGTCCGTCACTGAAGTTGTGAAGTCCGTCTCCCATGATGACCATCCAGGCGAGTGTGGCCACGCCGGCCTGCTGGAAGTGCTGTAGTGAATAGGAGTGTGTGTGTCTGTGTGAGTGTGTGTGTGGGTGGTGGTTCTGGGAGTGGTGGTGATGCAGTATGTGGTGGTAGTCATGGTGATGATGATGCTGCTCATCTGACTGGCCAACAGTGTCATGGAAGTGGGAGTGGCATTTGTTCTCACAGTCCAAGTCGGAGTAGAGCTCCGCCCCCAACATCACCTCTTCTTCCTCAGCCACGCCACGCCCACATGCACTTCCACCATTCGTTTCAACAGCTGATGTTATAGAAATACCATGTAAGTGTTTCATTTTGACCTCATAAACATTAACAAGCTTAAAAAAAGTTGCATATAGTTACATACAATCAAGTGTTTTGACATTTTCTTGTAATGATGGCATTTTCTCAGATTCCAAAACTTCTGTGGTGAGATCAACCCTCTTCTGCACCTACAAACAGAGATAATACTCAAGGAACAACTCCATGCAACATCCATGTTGTTATGTTACAATGTTCAGGGAATTAATACTATGACTTTTTACCCTAACGTCGTCATACTCAGATTCTAGTCAGAATATGAATCTGATACTGCTCCATTGGGCTGTAATTATGGGGCGTGTTTTAACCAAACCAGGAAAGAAAATGCCTCTGCACTCAATTGGATAGACCTACAACTAATCAGTGCAAGTGAGTAAGTGACGTATGTTGAATCCCGTGGGAAGGACGGCAAAAACATCTTTCCGGCAAATGCCTTGATCGCGGTTCTCTGTTCCTCTTTTAAAAATGAATGCGCTGTCAATATCTTCTATAACAGAATCTACACATCTCAATTCTAGATTACACATCTGAATCTACACATCTCAATTCTCCAGCGGCAGCCATTCTTTGTTGTAAATGAATTCAACCCAAGCACTCTTTGGTGATGTGGATGATTACGTCAGAGTCCTGCACGGGTTCGGGTGACCCGCAAATTTCTCTCAAACGGGTGAAAACTATCCAACTGTGTCGGATACGGTTGCAGGTCGGGTCGGACACGGGGAAACGCGGGTCTAAACACGGGTTCAAAACAGTCGGGTGCAAATGTAAAAATAAATGCATATTTTTAGGAACACATCTACAAAACTATGCCTGCCCTGTATTTCAAGTTGATAAAATATTTGTTTTTAGTTTATTTGAGCCCGCGCCCTCCCATGAGTCTCTAGGCCTAACGTTACATTCACTTTTAAAAAATCACAACTACTCGAACTGCTGCATGAGTCGTCTAGATGGATAGTGAGGAGTTGAAAAATAGCTAGAGGAGATTATAAAGTTGTCGACAATACTTCATCGAAACTCAAGACGGTGTATGTAGCGTTTAGGATTCGCATACAACTGGACTTTTCTTTCATTTAAAATTATCACATAGCCTACACTGTTGTTATTGTCTAATTTAAAACTGTTAAGTAGGCCTATGTGTGGTGTGAAATTGTCTGATGTGCTAGATGAAATTGCATTGTTTTGTGGTAACGTTAGCCATGTTCTGTATAGGCTATCGGCTTTTTGACAGCTTCGGCTGTTGTCCTCGTCTTAAGGCAAGCCGCCAAAGGCAATAAAAATTTGAAAAAAGTGTGTCTATAATGTGATTGCTAAACTGATTTTATTTCGGGTGCGGGTCGGGTCTCGGTTCTATTTTAAGCGGGTCGGGTTGCGGATTTTAATTAGTGCTGCTGTCGGAAAACGGGTCGGATGCGGTTTTAAGCACTGCGGGTGCGGATTTACAAAATCCGACCCGTGCAGCTCTCTGGATTACGTTACTGTTGATCATCTGTCCATCATCGTATAAAGCCCGCCCTGACAATTTGATTGGTCCGAACAGCTCTGGTTCGAGCATAGTTGCTCCACAACAGATCAAGTCCAGACCGAACTTCCCGACCTCAAATGTTGTGGGCGGGGCTAAGTTCGGCTGGCATCCAGGCTAATGACTTTTATCAGAATGGCTAAAAGAATGTGTAGCACATGACTTTAACATGAAATATGAGATCTTAACCTTGTATTTTGTGTGTTTGTACATTTTGCTGACCTTCTGTTTTTTGTCTTTGTACATTTTGCCGAGGGTCAGAAAGTGTTCAATGAGAAACATGATGTAGACTCCACTCAGAGCTGTGAGCCCTGTCCACACAGGCCGAAGGGAATCCTCTTCCATCTCTTCACCGTGGTGATGGTGCTCCGAGTGGCTATGCTGGTGATGACCCAGAGACTGACAGACACCAATCAGAAGTCAATGAGAAATCTCACAAAATATAGAAAAACTGTGTATACACTACTGTTCAAAAGTGTGGGGTCAGTAAGATTTCTTTAAAATAAATCAATACTTTTATTCAGCAAGGATACATTAAATTGATTAAAAGAGACAGTAAAGACATTTTAAATGTTACAAAGATTTCTATTTCAAATAAATGCTGTTCTTTCTATTTATCTAAAAATTCTGAAAAAAGTTTAATGGTTTCCACAAAATATTAAGCAGCACAACATTTTTCAGCATTGCTAATAGTAAGAAATATTTCTTGAGCACCAAACCATCATATTAGAACGATCTGAAGGATCATGTGACACTGAAGACTGAAGTAATGATGCTGAAAATACAGATCAGCCATCACATGAAAAAATTACTATTTAAAATATATTAACATAGAAAACAGTTATTTTGAATAGTAATAATATTTCACAATATTACAATTAATTTAGTTTGATCAAATAAACGCAGTCTTGTAGTGTAGTGAGCATAAAATACTTATTTTAAGAATATTACAAAATCTTATGGACCCCAAACTTTTAAGTGGTAATGTATATGGCAGTGTATTTGTAAATATGTAAGCACCGGTGACGATTATGTCATATCAGTATCAAGTAAAACCATAGACCAAAAAAATAAGAGCTTAAAAACAACAGTACTAAATTCAAATGCCAGTTTGTGTCTTAATGACAGTATTGGTCTTACATGTGGTATGAGGTGAAGGAAAGCGTCTCCGCTGAGAGTTCCCACTGCAAGGGCCACCAGGAAGCTCAGCAGGAAGTTGAAGCAAACTCTGTTCATGAGTGGGATCAAAACCACACCAACTAATGCCAGTAAACTGATCAAAGTGATGGAGAGAAACCCTCCTACCCATGCTGTAACACAAACATACACACTTATTAGAAGTATGGGTTTTTTTTGGTCTGTTTTTCCTCTGATTTTACATTTAGATTACCTCTGCCGCCATCTAAAGCTCACTGAAAGTTCAACTTTATAAACACTAATAATTTAATAACACTAGCAAATCTCATAATGAATTATGTTGTGAATTCATTTGTAATATTTTTTACTAATTAATTGCATTTTTTTGTGTTTAGTTTTTTATTTATTTAGTCAAATAGTAAATAGAATTTTAATATGGGCCATGTATAGGTTATCAACCACAAAATGAAAATGATCAGCTTATCACTCCCAAGTTTGTGTATTATAAACCAAAAGGACCTCCACAGATATATCGCAATGGTTTCAGTGGCTGACCTTACTCACTCAGGAGGCTGGCCGTTTATCTAATATAAATGTAATTTGTATAAATGGAAAATAACAAATATAATGAACATGCAACTTAGCCTTGTTATATATATATCTTTAAACCATAAATAACAATACTTACCAATGCTAATTGAAGCATTCCTTGGGCTTCTGCCATCGGTGTGATTATGCGAATGATGGTGGTGATGATGATGATGGTGGTTGTGGTGATGATGGGAATGATCTGGCGGGGGGAAGCGAATTGTTATACAGATTCTGCAAATCAACTATTACAACTGTGACTCAAAAATACAACTATGTAAATTACAGGCACAAAAGCTCACCTGGATGGTCATCCTTGTGCACGAGGCAAGACTTGGAATCAATCTGCATGAGAAGGGCAGGGCACAGGTAACTGAAGTCCTTGACAGAGAGACCCATTTCCTTTGTCATGCCATGTGACTGCAGGATTGTGGAGGCATTTTGACACTGAAAGAGAATAGGCAGGACTTATGTGAGTGGAATATGTCAGGGATTTTCAAGGGAGCACTAGGGGATCCATGGAAAAGTTTAGAGGAAAACAGTGTAACAAATGTAAAAGTAAATAAATAAAAAAGGTTAAATAAAAATATTGATTAAAATAACATTCAATAAATACAATTTTAAATACATAGATTAAAATATATAATAAAAATTAAACGAGTAAATAATGTAACCGTTTGTGTACCTCTAGACTGGTATGGCTGTGTTCATGCTCATGGTCATCGTGCACATGTGTGGCTGTGTCCTCAGGATGGTGGGTGTGGTTAGAGTGTGTTAAATTGAGCTGGGCGTGGTTATAGGAGTCGTGGTCTTGCGTTAAATCGTAGTCAGCGCTACGATTCGTCCGCCGTGATTTTGTGACGTAGGACGGCGTAGTCAAATGTGTGGTCGGTTCCTGATTCATCTTCATGTAGAGATTGTGGTGAGCATCCGACTGGCTTTTCTTCCCAGAGGCAGGATCAGGCTGCACTTTTGGGATGGGGTCAGTCTTCTCCACAATATGATCAATACTCCCCTTCTTGGTGACAGGATGTGTGTGTGTGGTGAGTTTGTCCACATGAGCGTGCTCATGAGCATGCGAGTGTGTATGATTATGTTCGTTTTCATGATGATGCACCATCACTTTCCGGATGCGGTCTAGCCCCACCCCCTTTAGTAGGTTGAACAGGCCTTCTAAAGAGATGCTCCCGTTCTGGCCATACTTGTCAAACAGAGCATGTAGGTGGCGCTGCTGTGCCTGTTCTGCTACTCGACCATCAGTCTCAATGGGCATAGATGTGCAGTCTGAACCTGCCCCCACTAAACACGCCCACAGTAATGTCAGTGACACCACTGGAAAGAGGCGTGGCCACCAGTCAATCATACTGGCATCCTAAAACAGAAAAACAATCTGGTTATTGTCTCATTGCTGTAACAGCACAATGTCAATATTACAATTCTGGAACAGAGAATGAAAACAAAAGCAAAACATAAACCTATATTCTTAACTTCCATTTACAGTGTGTGAAAATGGAGAGACTCATTTTAAGGACCAGTAGTTTCAACAAGTAGTTAAAAATAATACATTTTTGAACAGCAATTAATTGAAAACGAATTCAATAGATTTCCAAAGTAATGAATCTCACTCAATAACCAAGCACAAACAAATCATGAGTCATCAATAACATTTGTGCCGAAATGTATTCTAAATTTACAGAAAAAATATAGAAACAAGTTAAAGCAACTGATATCACACATATGCAAAACCAGTAGGTGGCCATGTGCGAGCAGTCGGTGTTTGTGTTTGAAAGCTCCGTCGAATCAATTCATTAATCCTTGATTTTCTTCTTTACCACTCATTTATAAACAAGCACTTTCTATTTTTATATCATGGGAACTTATCCTCGATACTATTCCTTATAAAAAACAATCGGATTGCTTTGATATCGCTACTTAGACCCAACTTTGCGAATCTCGGCTACTAGCCTTTAGTCCGCTAGCATTTCACGCGTGGCCTTGCGCCTTAATCCTTTTAAATTACTAGTGATATTGGTAGTATCACTACTAATCTACTGTTCATCTGTTATGGCGAACATATCAGATGTGTGTCTAACGTTACCTCTGAGTGCAGGTGAGGACACATTCGAACTGATTTCGGTACGATTGGAACTTGAATCGGTGGAGAAACAGATCCGTGGTCTGCTAGAGAGGCAAGCCGAGCTGCGGGATCGGCGATCAGCGCTTGAAACGTCACGCGCCGATGCACACAAGTCAGTGGTTAGTAACTTTTTGACTCCGACTTCGTCCACTCCGTGCGTTTCTCTGCCCAGGAGGACGCGATCATCTCTGGCATCATTCACTCCGGCACCAACCCAACACCATGGACCCTGGGTGATCCCACAGCGGAAGACACGAGCCAGGACCAGAGCAAGAACCTCTCCGCCCCTCCCGGTCTTCGAGATCTCCACCCGGAACCGCTTCTCCCCTCTTCGCGAGTCGGAACGCGACGACGCCGTGATCATCGGCACTTCCATGGTCCGTCATGTCCGTGCTACCTCAGGTAAGGGTAAGGTGCGCACTCACTGCCTTCCTGGTGCTCGTGTTCTTGATGTCGCCGCACAGGTTCCCGAGATCCTGAACGGTGAAGAGCGCGTCGGAGCTGTGGTGCTTCACGCTGGAACAAACGATATCAGGCTGCGGCAGACGGAGGTTCTGAAGAAGGACTACAGGAGCCTGATCGAGACTGTACGCAGCACAGCGCCTGAGGCAACGATCATCGTGTCTGGACCGCTTCCCACGTACCGACAAGGACAGGAAAGGTTCAGTAGATTATTTGCACTAAATGAATGGTTAATGTCATTGTGTAATGAACAAAAACTGCTCTTTGTAAATAATTGGAATCTGTTCTGGGAGCGACCTAGGCTCTACCGTGCTGATGGCCTGCACCCCAGCAGAATCGGAGCGGCTGTTCTGTCGGACAACATCTCCAAGACGTTACACACCATATGACTAGAAAATCAAATTCCAAATCACAGTCTTTGCTGTGCCAATTTAATTGATATAAGTAGTGTAGAACATTATATAGAAACTGTGTCTATTCCTCGTTTAGTGAGGCCAAATAATAAATCCACTGTAGGATCTAGGAAAAATCTTATTGTAATTAAACCTGAAAATCTAAATATCAGTGAACAAAAACAATTTCTAAAACTAGGTCTTCTAAACATTAGATCGCTCACACCTAAGGCGGTTATTGTAAATGAAATGGTCACAGATAATAGCTTCGATGTACTTTGCCTTACTGAAACCTGGCTTAAACCAAACGAGTATTTCGGTCTAAATGAGTCTACCCCGCCAGGATACTGTTATAAACATGAGCCCCGTCTGATCGGTCGTGGCGGCGGTGTTGCAACAATCTATAGAGATATTATTAATGTTACTCAGAAAACAGGTCACAGGTTTAACTCGTTTGAAGTACTTGTGCTAAACGTTACGCTCTTAGATGTAAGAAATAAATCCCTATTATCTCTAGCCTTGGCTACTGTATATAGACCTCCAGGACCATATGCTGATTTCCTAAAAGAGTTTGCAGACTTTCTCTCAGATCTATTGGTCAATGCCGATAAAGCAATAATTGTTGGAGATTTTAACATACACGTAGATAACACAAACGATGCGTTAGGGACTGCGTTTACAGATTTATTAAACTCCTTTGGGGTCAAGCAGAATGTCAGTGGTCCCACTCATCGTCTAAATCATACACTAGATTTAATTATATCATATGGAACCAATCTAACCGATATAGATATTATACCGCAAAGTGACGATCTCACCGATCATCACATGGTAACTTGTATAATACGCACTGCTAGGGCTGGGCGATATGGCCAAAAAAAATTATCACGATATTTTGTTTTATATCAGTCGATATCGATAATTATCACGATAAATGTAAAATCTTTATTTCTTTCAAGTTTAAAGGCAAATTTTTGCTCCTAAGTGAAAGTTGTATAAATCAGAGCGTTGTGGTTGTAAAAATCTGAGGTAGAACATTCAAACATTTGTCATTTTACCTTAACAAAATAAATATCTGAAAAGAAAAATATTTCTTCAGCAGTTTGCAGTGCAGGCTGCAATATTCAAATTACATGTTTTGTCTCGAAATGCATATTTGACAGTGAGTTGACAGTAAATCTACATCCTAACTCAAGCTAATGCTATTATGTTAAATTTATGTTCATTAACCAAAACAGTACCATCTGTTTTTTTGTTGTTTTGTTTTTAATTTAAGGACCACATTTTTATTTGGTGAAATTTAATATTCTGACTGTTTGAGTTTTATTAAAATTAACCATTGGTCATCCAGTATCATGCATTTAGATCATGATAACCACAGATAAAGCCAGGTACAGCCTATAGCACCTCACTATCATGGCAAAATGTAACTTTATGGTTTCTATGGTATTTGTATGAAAAACAGTAGCCTAACAGTTAAATACATTATTAAATACTGTAATTATATTCCATTAGTCATTTAATACATTGTCTACATTAATAATGTTATTCAATTCAATATGTATACAGTATATCCCACATTTCATGGTGCAGTTATTACTAGGCTAACGTTACAGTAAATCCATGGTAGGCTAAATGGATTCAGTATCAATTCAGATTCTGACTGTTTCGCTGCGCAGTGTTTCTCCTGTTTGTCAGCGGTGTTTCATCTGCCTTTAAACTGATTTAAACTGGACATTTGTGTTCTTCGCTGAACTTAAGCGCTTCTCACTGGATCTCGTGAGCGAGGCGATCAGAGTAAACGCGTCTGCTCCATAGACAGTAAAAGAAATGGACAGAGCGATCTCATTGGAACTCAGTTGAGACAGTTGAAGCCCACTTTTAGCGATTTTTGAGAACTTCCGTTCCTGACGCGCAGACTCAGACCGACTCAAACTAAGCTTGATGACGTGAGCAACCTGTCTGACAGACGTTAATCTTCTAGTAGCTGTGCGTGAAAACTGCCAACGTTAATCTTGCAGAGACGGGGAACTTGAGCAAAGAGTTCTTTGGCGTGAGTGAGCAGGAGTAAGTATTCCGTTGCTTTTATGGACTCATTATCTATGGGCTTCTCCCTTGACGGGACGTCCCCCCGATTGCCTGCGAGCTTCTCCTGCTGTCTGTACGGTAATTTCTGTACAGCGCGACAGAGAGTCGAGTGGTTATGACGCAATCGTTAGCCTATTTTTACTAAATCTGTTTCTACGGGGCCATAATGTAACATAGAAGGTAATGGAGCCCTTTATACATTGTCGTGTTTCTTTAGAAATAAATAATGGACAAATGGAGTCTTTAAACGCCTCAGATGTAAAGTTATTCGCTGTCAAAGTGACGCCAAAATGACTGGGAGTCAATGGAAATGCTAACGCAAGTGAAGTTCTGCTACAACATGGCGGCACCCGGCCGGCTTCAACTTCCGGTCGATGGATTACCCCCTTGGTCTGCTCTAGTGAGCTCGCGCTGCCATTTGGACTTTGAGCCGAGCGGATAAACGGTCCGTGTGGCGCCGCGCGGTTCAAATGAGTTTCGTTCCGCTTTTGGCGCATACACATTATCGAACATTTATCGACCTCTTGATATCGTTTTATCGAGAAAAATTATATCGCGATAATTATCGTTATCGTTTTATCGCCCAGCCCTACGCACTGCTGAATTTTGTCATGTTGCGACACGTTATAGACCAGGCAGAACAATCCTTCCGACCACTATAGATAGATTCTCAAATAGCTTACCTGATCTATCTCAGCTGCTCAGAGAACCCAAACAAACAGATGAACTAGAGGAAATGACTAGCAGTTTGAGCACCATTTTCTCTAGTACATTAGATAGTGTTGCACCAATTAGATCAAAAAAGGTTAGAGAGAAAACTAAAGCACCATGGTACAACAGTGCTACGCATGCTATCAAGAGAGAAACTCGTAACCTAGAGCGTAAATGGAAACAAACTAATTTAGAGGTCTTTAGAATCGCGTGGAAAGACAGTGTGTCACGTAATAAAAAAGCTCTAAAAGCAGCCAGGGCTGAGCATCTCCGCAAACTAATAGAAAATAACCAAAATAATCCAAGGTTTTTATTTAACACGGTGGCTAGACTAACAAATAAACAGACATCACCAGAGCAAAATATTTCGTTACAGTATAGCTGTAATGATTTTATGAACTACTTCAATGAGAAAATAGAAAGCATCCGAAACACAATTGTAAATGTACAATCCTCTATGGTGTCTTATGATTCAGCCTCAATTATCGCCCCTCAAGAACAACTACACCGCTTTAAAACTATAGGACAGGAAGAGCTAAATAAACTTATCATTGCATCTAAACCAACAACATGTTTATTAGATCCAATACCAACTAAATTTCTGAAAGAAGTGTTACCTGTAGTGGAAGAGCCTCTTCTTAATATTATTAACTCGTCTTTATCTTTAGGTCATGTTCCAAAAATATTCAAGCTGGCAGTAATAAAACCTCTCATTAAGAAACCGCAATTAGATCCAAATAACTTAGCAAATTACAGACCGATTTCAAATCTTCCATTTATGTCTAAAATACTAGAAAAGACTGTGTCCGCTCAATTATGCTCTTTCATGCAAGAAAATGAGATATATGAAAAATTTCAGTCAGGATTCAGACCGCATCATAGCACAGAAACTGCGCTAGTTAAAATTACAAATGATTTACTTTTAGCTTCTGACCAAGGCTGTATCTCAATATTAGTTCTACTCGATCTTAGTGCTGCGTTTGACACTATCGATCATAAAATACTCTTGGATCGACTACAAATCTACACTGGTGTTCAGGGACAGGCATTAAGCTGGTTCAGATCGTATTTATCAGACCGTTACCATTTTGTTTGTTTAAATGGGGAAAAATCGAAGATAACGTCAGTAGACTATGGAGTGCCGCAAGGATCGGTGTTAGGCCCTCTGCTATTCTCAATATATATGCTGCCACTTGGTAATATTATAAGAAAACATGGAATTAATTTCCACTGTTATGCTGATGACACTCAATTATATATTTCATCACGGTCAGATGAAAACACTAACTTATCTAAATTGACAGAGTGTCTTAAAGATATAAAATGCTGGATGACGCATAATTTCCTGCTACTAAATCCATATAAAACGGAGGTATTACTTGTTGGTCCAAAAAACTATCCACAAAACCACTTACAATACAACTTTAATTTAGAAGAATGTCCTGTTACTTTATCCTCTACGGTAAAAGACCTGGGAGTTATACTAGACCACAACTTGTCTTTCGAAAATCATATTTCATATGTTACAAGAACAGCCTTTTTCCATCTTAGAAACATTGCTAAATTACGTAACATGCTATCTGTTTCCGATGCAGAAAAGTTAGTTCATGCATTCATGACCTCGAGACTAGATTACTGTAATGCTTTATTAGCCGGTTGTCCTGCATCCTCAATAAACAAGCTACAGTTAGTGCAAAATGCAGCCGCTAGAGTTCTTACTAGGTCAAGAAAATATGATCATATAACACCAATTTTATCATCTCTACACTGGTTACCTATCAAGTTCCGTATCAATTACAAAGTACTATTAATGACCTATAAAGCCCTAAATGGTTTAGCTCCTCTGTATTTAATGGACCTTCTATCGCCCTACAATCCATCGCGTTCTTTAAGATCACTAAATTCGAGGCTTCTTGTCATTCCTAGGATATCTAAGTCCACTAAAGGAGGGAGGGCGTTCTCACATTTAGCTCCTAAACTCTGGAATAGCCTTCCTGATATTGTTCGAGGCTCTGACTCGCTGTCCCAGTTTAAAACTAGATTAAAGACGCATCTCTTTAGCCAAGCATTTACATAATGCTTACCTTTTATTAGACTGCTGAATCAGATCAAATGACTGTAGGTTATCTGTATAGGTTGCATAGTATTTGCAGTCATTACGTTCCTGTGTATTGCGTGAATGACGGGTGGTGTTGCGGTAGGTAATAGGGCTGTTGGAACGAATTCCGAAATTCGAATATAATTCGAATATTAAAAAAATCAATACTATTCGAATGCTGAAGTTACTATTCGAATATTGTTTTTTTTTATGTATATTTTTTTTTAAAAATTTATACCGTAAAACTTCAAATAATAGCCGAGTCCCAAATAGACGCCGTCTCTTTTACGCCTGGTGTGGCTGCAGGTTTGGGTAAATAAAGGCCGGTCTCAAATAGAGGCCGGGTCTGTTTTTTAGTTTCAGGTTGTATTTAATCCTCTAAAACCCGTGCGATCGTCTGCTTTTTGGCGGTCGCCAACGCAAATGTTTGTCCCGCGAAAGCCTTTTTTGATCGATGTAGACTAGAATGACTGCTGCGCCTGACAGGGCGCATAACGAGCAGAGAGAGAGAGAGCCCCGGCCACGCGCGCGCACTCTCACGTCTTCAAACACGAGCGCTGTCTTGGCCTCTCTCCCTCGCGCATATTAATCAAAATCAATTGACACGATACTAGTAAAAGGTCGGAAGTTTCACGTGGAGCATTTGGATATTTTTAGAGATTAGAGCCTCTAGGCCTCAATGAACAACATCTCAACACTAAATTATAAAGGCCTGTCTCATATAGACGCCTGTCTCAAATACAAGCCGGTGCAGTTCGACGATTTGGGAAAATAAAAGCCCGGGCTACTATTTGAAGTTTTACGGTATGCAATCTTGCCTTTCTCGCCACCTTGGCTTACACACATGTGAAAATGAAATGCTTTTGTTTCGTCTGATGAACAATAAAGTTTTTGAATCGTAACACAATTGTGCACGTTATCCACGCTGTATCATCATAACAATACTGTCAAAAATGGTAAATGTTCAACAACGTAAAAAAGCGCCCGTGAAGCGCAAATATCTCGGTGAAAACTCAACGGATTCGGCGAGCACCAAACTCGTTGGAACCGTCTAGTCGAACTGAAAAGAACGATATAAGTTTCAGAATTTTTGGTGGTGTTTTAGCAGAGATATTAGCCGAAAACCATCGGTAGCGCTTCAACCATATTCAGCACGAATAAAATGTTTATTGTAATGTTAGATGTCCCTCTAGTGGACAGAACGTGTAACAACAACCACATGCTATAGTGGCATTGGCGATCCATAAGCCTGAGTAATGTCGTAAATATTAATAATAGGATGAATTTGAGCATTTAATATTCGAATATTATTCGAATATTAAATAAAATAAGGAATGGAATTCTAATAGTATTATAGAGGAAGATTGACAGCCCTAGTAGGTAATATGCCATACGGAACCGTTGTCCACTGAAACTGCCTAGTCACGCACCAGTGGGGCTCGACAGCCTTAGTCAACGGGTTGGCGCGTATGGTTGGGTTGCGGAAAGATTGTGAGATTGTGGTTAGGTCTCAGCAGCAGGAGGGACGTAGAGGTCAGTAAGCTGGGCTGAGTTGAGTGGGGGACGGAGGGGGGTGATTTTGGGACGCAAGAGTCACTGTCTTCATGTTTTGTCATTTACGCCTGTGTTATGGAAATCATCATTATGAACAGCAGCTACGCTAATTATTTTCCCTTTGCTTCTCTGCTGTTATCTCGGGACGCGAGTCCCGAGAAAATGGCGTTCGTCAGCTCCAGTTTGTATCCAGCCTCTCACGGAGACTTCAGATGCTCCAATCACAAAACCTATGAAGTGACGACTCAACACGGGCGATATGGACTCTCTATGGTGGACGGACGGCACTGATCCTCAACAACTCGTCTTAAGACCGGCGTGCATACTTGGACTTCCAAAAAATACTCTAAATGTTCCGATCCAATCTGACTTGTAATGCTGCCCGAATCATCCACTGTTCCTTCGTTGGCCAGAGGAGAACTGGCCCCCCGACTGAGTCTGGTTTCTCCCAAGGTTTTTTTCTCCATTCTGTCACCTGATGGAGTTTTGGTTCCTTGCCACTGTTGCCTTGGCTTTTGGCTCGCTTAGTTGGGGACATTTAATATTCAATAATATTATTGATCTGCCTTACTTAAGGTGGACGTTGACGCAATTTCTTTTAGAAACGAACTTTGTTATATTGTTTTCATGTTATCACTGTGAAGCGCTTTGATACAATCTGTATTGTAAAAAGCGCTATATAAATAAAGGTGACTTGACTTAAACGTGTCAAGAATAATTTTACATAGATATTTCATCTTAAATGCATATTTCATCAAAGGAAGGAGGGCTGTAAAAGAAGGGTTGCACAGAATGTGTATGGATATAGTTGGGTGTGTTTATGAAAATTACTAAGCTTGGGTAGGCATCTTATTTAAATACTCAAAATTCATTAACATTATAACGAGGTTAAGAACCAATTTAAAACTAAAACAAAACACGCAATTATTGATAAATGACTTTTGTTAGATACAGGAGATCTCTGAGGTAGAATAGTCCAAAATCATTTTAAGGGAAAATACATATAGATTTAAAACTAGCTAACGTTACAAAAACATCAAACAGGTCTCACATAAAAAAAACATGGTATTTGTGACTGTAAAACTGTAACGTTTTTTTAAGTAAGTTACTAGTGGCATAAAACGCATAAAATACGCCATAGCAAACGACTCCATATGCTTCTGAAAAGTGTTCAACTGTAAGACTTCTAAGAAAAAGTAATACACACAGGAATCTGGTGAATTTTGCACCCGCGCATCACTAACACCTGTTTACACACACTGCGACAACAATATTAATAACAATGTCAATGACTTTGACAATAACAATGACTCTTTTTTTACTGGATTGCAGGGGATTTTTTTACTCGATTTCGTTTATATTTTGAGATCTATGAAACCACTACGTATGGAAGTTTAACAGATGCAACAACACTGATGTGGAAGAACAACAGGCGTCACGCGGCCTAGTTGGTACTTTCCTGCAACGTGCACAACGAATTTCTGCCGTCCTAACTGTATTTTTACACGCGTAACGCACTGACCATACATCAACACTATTTACTGCTTACCGGGAGTCCACACGCGCACCACGCTCGAAAGTAAGCGCGTTCTAGACGGCGATTCTGCACACAACACCACAAGCACCTCAACCAGACCGTGTGCAAAAAAACGTCATCGTAAAACCGGAAACAGAGCGAGTATCTTTTGTTTCATGAGGGGAGCGCGCGGCGCGGCCACATCTCTTCCCCGCCATTCCCGATCTAACGGCGAGTCGGCGACTAACAAAACAAACAGCAGTCTTACCGATTTGATGTGATTGTAGACCTCTTTATGCGGAAAAAAACGGGACGCTCCGTGATCGAGCCTGATGATTTTAGGGAAGAGTCAGAAGCTGATGTCATTGGTTTAGGTGTAGTCACATGACCACCCTGTTGTCTGATTCATCCCTACTCAAACATCCACATTCCGCACTAAACAACATTTATGGTAAATATTTGTAAAGGGAGGACTTAATTGTTTACTTATTTTAATCATGTGAATTATTCTGAAAACATGACCCTAGGCTAATTATGTGACCTAGTAGCCTAGACTAGTAGTTTAAAAGGCCACATTACAACAGCTCGCCTACATCCAGATGCAGATAAAGTTTTTACATGTTGTACGGAACAAATGGACTCATAATGTGGATAAACATAACCATTTTTTAAACACACACACGCCCAGCAACAAATCTCAAACACAGAGGTGTTTATTTAGCTAAAGACATAGGCCTACAGACTAGCCCAAAAAGAACAACTTTGGCATTTTTTAGAGATTAGAGTTAAAAAGGCAGATGTGCTCCGTCAAGGGGTTTTCTATAGGGCACTACGAGATGCTTTGAGAGATGTAAATGTTTTTTATATTATGTATATTTAGGGCTGTCAAGGTTAACTGTCTTGAATATTACAATGAAAAGCACTCATTTCGAATTAAAAAATTGTATAGGTACATAAATAATACCCTTTAAGAGAAAATATAGCCTACCATATCTTAAAACCACGAAGACTATATAGGACTAGGTCTTTATAATATTTTTGTTACACTGTGTAAATTTATCTTTATATTTAAGGAAGTGGGCGTCACGAAATTAGATCATCTATTTGTGATGGATTTATAAAATAGAGTAAGAAAAAACTTAGAGCTCGTAATTTCTGAAATGTTCTAACTTTTTGATGGAACTCACAAATATGACGATCTCCTCGCGAGGGGAGCTCTTCCTAAAAGTAAATAGGCTAATTATATGTAGCCTATAATTAGCCTACTGTGTAAGAAAAAGTATGTTGAAAAGTATAGGCTATATGAACCTATATGATGTTAAAGACAAAATTGTATTCAAATTAAATTATTTTATAGCCTATTATTAGGCTAAAGCAAAGCTAATTTTCACAATAGGCTTTAACCTGAAAAATATTGACTTTATTAATAGTTTTTTTTAGTCTTTAAAGGGTTTCACGTGACCAAATTCAGGTCCGTCTCATTTTGTGGCTGTGGAGTCTATCTCTCCGTCTTCCCTGTTCTGTGTCCGTCTAGCGCAGATGAAGGGAAGTGAAGGAAACTGATGCCGTCTCTGCGCGCGCGAGACGATAATTAGGACGCGTGAGCTGGTGTAATGCGTCTAAGGTATCGGGTCACTGGCCCTTCTTTCAGCTCGGCCTATGACAAGAAGAAATGAGCCATAGTAAGTGCAGCATCAGCTTTCATGTGAACCAACATTTCCGCGTCACCTGGCTCACACAGCCGTATCAATCGCGCGGGATCATCGTGTTCAGCCGCATTATGTCCAGTGGCTCGTGCGCTGCAGGTGCTGGACGCTGTCTCGCGATGTTCGGGCTGCTGGTCCTTGTGCAGATGCCCGGAGCCCTGACGTCCAACACGGAGAGCGACTGTTTGACTGAAGATGACAAAGGATGTGAAGGTGCGCGCACACACACACACACTCACGCACACAAGTCTTTATAGCCTACTGATGGTGCGGACCTTCCATTAACAACGTGAAAGATGTAAAAATGAAGCCGAATGCAATTATATAGCTTATTAACTCAAACCCTTCACCTAGTCAAAACACAAACTTGGATTGACTTTTTTTTTAAAACGTAGTCTCTTTATGAATAGGAAGCTTTTAGATTTAACAGTTTGTGAAAATGTCCTGCTGGGGAAAAAAATACGACTAGAATATTAAAAACATAATGAGTTTAGGAAAACATAAAAAAAATAGTCCTAATAGGAACTTAATGGAGATTTTATATATTACAATTTATGAAAATCCCCAGCTGGGAAAATAAACAAATAAACATCAACAAAAAAAAAGTTCTGTAAGGGGATTTACAGTCAACGACCCAGAACCAGATATGCTGAATGAAGACCCGGAGTCAGAATTATAATAAATTGAAGAAAAGTTTTACTGAAGATAGTTTGAAGTTTCATCAGAAGAGGTCAGCTTCAAGACTCACAAGTTTGAAGGCCGTTCCGCTTACAGTTACAAAGATCACATTCACAGCAGTTATATGGTCTAAGCTATACGTCCTTGCTTCAGGTTGAATTATTCTCATTGGCTAAGAAATAGATAAACATAGTAATTTTCCACACATATACAGATAGACTAAAGGATATCTCCATCGATTAGGCAGCTGACACACTGAATTTAGGCACTTTGTGACCTTCCAGTTTGCAGATCTGGGTTGCCATGGCGCCAGCATGTCTCAAACAACAAGTCAGTCAATGCCAGTGGTTCCTTAACCTGTAACCAAAAAGACTAACACACACACACCGACACACAGCTTTTTCAAGGTTGGATTTGGCCAGGCTCTAACTATAAACTGGAGAGTCTTTAAAACATCAAGATACATTCTTTTTCTCAAGGAGAGGACACTTTAATATAACACAGTAAAGTAAAGCTTTAACAAAGAAATGGTCCCTCAACTATAGGTTCCAATGACCCTTGTGACCTATAGTCGTCATGGTGAGCTAGAAGAACAGATATATGTTTTAACACATGTTTAAGACCTTTCTCAAACAAAACATCTTTCCATATTTCATTTCTGAAAGCCAGGCTAAATGAGCAAGCACTGTTACTGCATTTCTAGCATGGGCTAGACCCTTCAGTCACCTCTCAGATATTTAATAGACATTAAAGAATACATGAAAAGAACATTTCAGTAATCACACTCGTAAGTTCTATAACAAAGTAAAATCTCATAAGTCATTCAACTCATTTGATATTTAGAAGGAAAAATATTTATTAATACCTTGATTATAAACACTCATCAGATATACATTGAAGCAGCAGAATCCACCCCTCCAGTTAGTTTTAGTGGCTTTCAATTGGTTCCCCAGTCTGAGCAGTTTACAGTTTCCAAAAGGCGCTCTAAAACCAACCTGACCAGTCTGAGACACCAGCTAAGGCCATCATTTTTTTTAGCAGGGTTTAGTCTTTTCAGGTTTTACTATCTTTGTGGTGACATTTGGACGTCATGGTCCCTGATACATTTTTGCATGTGTATACTTGTCAGAACAGATGGTTTAATCCCTTTATGAGGCTTCTTCCCACTAGTCCTGATTAGCTAGGTTTTGTACTATATTTGTATGGACAAACACATACATGCACACACTTACACGTAATGCCTTTGACAAAGGTGTGTGTTGGTTTTAGGTATGTCCGAGAAGAAAAGTGACCATCATGTGTGTGATGAATATAGTTGTTCTTTCGGAGGAATCTGCAGGGACAACGGATCACACCTGGAGTGTCTTTGTCAGTTTCAGGTTTGTTTTTGTCCTGCCACAATAAGCTCTGCACATTATGAAATGAAACATGGCTTATTACAGCTAATGATGCTGAGAACAGTTTCTAGATTATTGCCCTGTGACATAATTAATGTCTGAGGCAGGTTTCAGGACTCAGGTGTTTGTTTCTTTCAGTGTCCACAGATGTTTGCTCCAGTATGTGGGTCTGATGGTGACACATATCATAGTGAATGTTTCCTAAGACAAGCTGCCTGTGAACAGCAGACCAGAATCACTGTAATTACGGAAGGACAATGTCATTCCGGTTAGCAAAAACAGTAAAAGCCTTTTCAAAGCACTTTAATTGCTATACACTTAATAATGTACAATATTTTTTGCTGTATGTATGTCATATGTATACTATGTAAAACTATGTAATACATATATTTAAAACTTTTAAGCTGACGTGGCGTTTTACATGATATTTATCCTTTTTCTCAGTTGCTGAATCGGCATCAGGAGATACAGGTATTTTTATTTGATTTTATTTGCTGTCAGAGACACATCTAAAGTTTTGAGCAGTTTAATGTAGCCTGGTAATACGCAACATGACATCATGACTTTTGCGTAAACATACACGCCACTTTCAAGTCAACTTGAGCGGAAGTACGAAGTCTGACGTAGTCAGGCTAAGTTTAATGGTCCAGGGAATTTGAAATGTGATCTTCATTGATGTATGATATTAAGGCAACCAAAATAAAAATGATATGTGACTTTCAATGCAATATTAGACCTTACGTAAACCATGTGCGTATGTTTGTGTGTAGATCTGGAGAGTTCAGGACTAGAGCCCAGCAGATACTCTAAGTGTTCTAGCTGCAAGTTTGGAGCGGAGTGTGATGAAGACTCTGAAGGCATTTGGTTGGTCAATGTGTGTGTGTGTGTGTGTGTGTGTGTGCTTGTTTATATGATTTATGAGGATACAAATTTGTATAATGACATGGGTATTACACTGGTATTACAATGTAAACAATGTAGACATTTCTTGAGTCCTAGTAATTAAAATGGCTTTAAAAACATACTAAATTATAATGTTTTATTAAAAATGTAAAGATGCAGAAAGTTTTCTGTGATGGGTAGGTTTAGGGGTATAGTTAGTGTAAGGGGATAGAATATACAATTTGTACAGTATAAAAGCCATTATGCCTATGGAATGTCCCCATAATTATAGGTGCACCAACGTGTGTGTGTGTGTGTGTGTGTGTGTGTGTGTGTGTGTGTGTGTGTGTGTGTGTGTGTGCACGCACGCGCGCACGTTTGTATACTAGAGCAGGAGTTTCCAAACTTTTTTATCAGCCGAACCCATTCAAGTAAAATATTTGCTTGATATTTACCCTGAGATTTTAAGTTAATATTTAAATAATTTAACGTCACATTTGCATGTCCATAGTTCCCCTATTATTAATATTATTATTAAATATTGTAGTAGTTTTAATTTGTAAAAAAGATAAGGCAGAAATATATTAGTTGCAAATTACAATTGTACTGTAAAATAAAAAATCTTTTTTACAAAAAGTTACAAAAATGATAATTGTCTTAAATTCTTCATTTTCAAACATTTAAACCCTTGAACTTCTCATGACTTAATTAATTATTAGCTTTTCATCTCACAAACCCCCTGCAGTTCCTTCCCAAAAGCCCATTTGGGAAACCCTTCTATAGAGGCGAACATGCAGGTAACATGTATTTTCTGTGCAGGTGTGTATGTAATATAGACTGCAGTGGATTTAATATGAATCCAGTTTGTGGATCAGATGGCCAGTCTTACAGTAATCCATGCCAGGTCAGAGAAGCTTCCTGCTTGAAACAAGCTCAGATTAATGTCAAACACCTTGGGCAATGTCCAGGTAAACACACACACATAAATCACACAATTAGCAAACACATGTAGAGACAAATATGTAAACATTTTCTGTAATCAGATATGACATATTTGATTCATCCTATAGATTCAGTGGTATTAGTGGGTGGAGTCAGTGTGGGCGGAGCAATGCCCTGTGCTGAAATCAACAGCAGCTTTTGTGTGCATGGAACCTGTGAGATGAAAAATGATCTGGCAACATGCAGGTATGATCCGCAACACATGCACAAGTCATCTATTGTAGTAAATCTCAATTGGATGTAAAAATGGATTTTAGGCATGTGTTTTGATGTGTTTCGGTCAATCATGGTCGTATCTGTTTAGGTGTGATGTGGGGTTCTCCGGTGTGCACTGTGAGCAGAGAGACTTCAGTGAGTTGTACGTGGTGCCCAATGGACAGAAGCTTCAATACGTCCTGATTGCTGTGATCATTGCTGCTGTACAGATCAGCATAATTATCGCTATCATAATATGCATCACAAGGTAAAACTCTTCTCTTGCACAGTAGTATGCACCAAATAAATTCTAATATAGACAAAAAGCATAAATATCACACACTCACTAAATCTCAAAACTGTTGCCTTTAGGATTCATCCAAAAAAGCCACGAGCCCATCTTCAGAAACAGAACCTGGGTCACTCACCCAAAGATGGAGGACGCAGGATTATGGGATGATTATAGTATCAAAATGATTAACACGTGCAAGCACACTTATCAATGAACTTGATAGATGTTGCAGAAATGTTTTATCCATGCCTTTCAACTTGCGTGTGCAAAATTCAAAATTGAATGAATGTGAAGCAATTTGTACAAATAGAGACATTTTTGTGAATACAAATGTTTTCCTTTGTATTAGTGTATCATAATTTGCACATGCAACACAGAAGATGTGCATGTGTGGATCAGGTGACACGCGTGCATTCATTGACGTCTTTTCTTTGTCGATCTCATTTGATTCATTTGGATTTTGAGACTTTCTTTTCGCGGTTTTTCATGACTTTCTTTTCGCTATTCATGTTCATGTAGTCTCTTGTCTGTAGGCTATATAGTTTTCCTCCCATAGAGCATAATATTATAAAGAAAAAGCTTAACATCAATGGAGTAAGACGGTGATATTTAAACTCAGTAGCCAAACACCTTATTGAACATGCAACGCGCGATTGCACGTTAAGCGTTTTATTATGATTTTCTATGGGTGTTCATAATCTGATGTTATCTGTTTACCTCTATAAAGTATGCTTTATTAATAGGGTAGGCCTATATTATTGTGTACTAAATTTGGTGCTTCAATATCACTCTCATTAAGCGTCTTAAATGCGGAAGAACGCCTGATTATGCTGCCGTTGTCTGTTTCAGCAGAATACTGCCATCTAGTGGTAGCAGGTTTTCTCAGACAGCTGTGTGTGGATCGTGCAAGGCGAAACCTGCGAAATGAAAGTCTCAAAATCCAAATGAATCAAATAGGATCGACTCAGAAACGAGTCAATGAATGCACGCGTGTTACCTGATCCACAACTGCACATCTTACTTGTTGCATGCACAAATTCTGGCCTACATTAATACAAAATCGAGGTTTTGTATTTGTTTTGTATTTTGCATACACAAGTTGTATTGTATTAGTTTAAATGTAGTGACGCACATTTGTGAATTTGTCAAAAAGATGGGTAGTTGTGCACACATTAATTATTAGCACCAGGCCTATTCATTTGTAGTTGTTTGTGTTTGGGTTGTGAAATGCTTAAAAACCGCGAAAAGAAAGTCTCAAAATCCAAATGAATCAAATGAGATCGACAAAGAAAAGACGTCAATGAATGCACGCGTGTCACCTGATCCACACATGCACATCTTCTGTGTTGCATGTGCAAATTATGATACACTAATACAAAGGAAAACATTTGTATTCACAAAAATGTCTCTATTTGTACAAATTGCTTCACATTCATTCAATTTTGAATTTTGCACACGCAAGTTGAAAGGCATGGATAAAACATTTCTGCAACATCTATCAAGTTCATTGATAAGTGTGCTTGCACGTGTTAATCATTTTGATACTATAATCATCCCATACAGGATTGTATAGCTGCTGATAACTTAAACAGAAACGCACAAACTGTACACTCTTAAAACACTTTTTTTGTCACTAACCACACATACTACTCATCTACTATTTATATTTATACTGACTAAGATAGGGTGGCCGAGAGAGCTCAACGCGCTGCAACTGAAGAAAACACACAAATAGAAAAAACACCAGCAAATTTCGAAAACATCTTCATCAGTTTAACAACAAATGTGCTGCAAATACTCACAACGCAACCAAATACAGAAGTGTGTTGTGAATACTAACAACACAACCAAATACAGAAATGTGCTGCAAATACTCATAACGCAACCAAATACCGAAACGCGTTGCAAATACTCACAATGCAACCAAATACAGAAACTCGCTAAAAAAAGCACAGACCACAGTAGAAATGTTTCAAGGGGACCCCAACAAGTGAGGAACTTGGCTGGAAACGCTTATTGTTCAATGTCTACTCGTCAGTGGTGTTGTTGATGACCAGAAAGGTGAGTTTATTGTTTATTTTAGCATCCTGATCGTATGTCCATTGGAAGTATTTGCAGCGCGTTTCTGTAATTAGTTGCGTTGTAAGTACTTGCAGCGTGTTTCTATATTTGGTTGCGTTGTGAGAGCATGCAGTGTGTTTCTGTATTTGGTTGCGTTGTGAGTATTTGCTGCACGTTTTTGTATTGGGTTGCATTGTGAGTACTTGCACCATATTTCTGAATTCGGTTGTGTTGTGAGTATTTGCAGCATGTTTCTCTATTTGGTTGCATTTTGAGTATTTGCATCACTTTTCTGTGTTTGATTGCGTTGTAAGTATTTGCAGTGCATTTCTTAATTTGGTTGTGTTGTGTGTATTTGCTGCCTGTTTCTGTATTTGGTTGTGTTGTGAGTATTTGCCGCCTGTTTCTGTATTTGGTTGCGTTGTGAGTACTTGCACTGCGTTTCTGTATTTGGTTGCATTGTGAGTATTTGCAGGGCGTTTCTGTATTTGGTTGCATTGTGAGTACTTGTACCGCGATTCTGTATTTGGTTGTGTTGTGAGTATTTGCAGCCTGTTTCTGTATTTGGTTGTGTTGTGAGTATTTGCAGCCTGTTTCTGTATTTGGTTGCGCTGTGAGTATTTGCAGCCTGTTTCTGTATTTGGTTGCATTGTGAGTACTTGTACCGCGATTCTGTATTTGGTTGTGTTGTGAGTATTTGCAGTATTTGCAGCCTGTTTCTGTATTTGGTTGCGTTGTGAGTATTTGCAGCCTGTTTCTGTATTTGGTTGCGTTGTGAGTATTTGCAGCCTGTTTCTGTATTTGGTTGCGTTGTGAGTACTTGTACCGCGATTCTGTATTTGGTTGCGTTGTAAATATTTGCAGCGCATTTCTGTATTTGGTTGTATTGTGAGTACTTGTACTTGTTGTATTGTGAGTACTTGGTTGCGTTGCGAGTTTTTGCAGCGCGTTTCTGTATTGGGTTGCATTGCGAGTATTTGCAGCGTATTTCTGTATTTGGTTGCTTTGTGAGGATTTGCAGGGCATTTGTTGTCAAACTAAAGATGTTTTCTTAATTTGTTGGTGTTTTTTCTATTTTGCATGCGTTTTCTTCAGTTGCAGAACATTAAGAGACCCAAGCCATTTATTGGGACCAGAATTTTACTGACATTCTTTTAACTTTGGCCAGTAAGCAACCGCTCAGAACACCCTAGCAACCACATAGAAACATGCACAAAAAAAACTCCCAGAAAGCCTTAGCAACTACATAGCAATGCCCTGGCAACCACCCACAGCACAATAGCTTCATTATTTTTGGCATGGATCACTCAGATATTCTTTAAAAAAAAGAAAAGGAAAGGAAAAATATAGTTTTTAGTGTCCAAACTCTCCATAAGAGATGTACAGTGTGGGCCACAGGTTAAAGCATATCAGAGAATGTTTGTAAAGCCTACTCCTGCCAGAATCTGTTGTTTTCTCATTATATGTTACCTTCTATCCTCCTCATTTTTAATGTAAGAGAAGGTGTAACCATTTTTAACTTGTGTGAGTCTTCCGGTGTCAATTATTTTAGCTGTACAAAAAAGGTCTGTTATGCTGCTTGATGTTGCTATCATTTTATTTTGATTTATTATGGTAAATCATAAACACACTGTTTTTTTGCTCAAATATATTTTACCATTTGCTACACTTTGTTATTCTTCTATTTGTTTTCCTACAGTAGCTAATGAATCCAAAGTCTTGTACATCCACAGGAAATAACTTACTTTCACATAGAAAAATAAGGTGGATAAAGCTGGGAAAACTTTGTAATTTTTTCATTTTGGAAACAGAGCAAAAAGGAGATAAAAGCAGCTGTGTTTTAGCACAATTCAAAACCAAGCAATCCAAACCTCTTACAACTGAATTCTCATAAAGAAGGTCATCAGTATGTGACTGTGAGAGGCTGTGTGTTTATCAGTCTTATAAATCAGTTTGTAAATCAGTGACTTTATATTATGTGAAGGCCTGTGAAAGTTTGCATGTCAAATCTGTTTAAACTCAGTAAAAATGTATACTAAAGTGAGTTTTAAGGAAAATGTCATGTCTTTAGTGTTTTTCTTAAAGTACTAGTGTATTTTCCTCAGTGACAAAAAAGTGCATGCTGGGAGATGCAGTTTTCGTATGCCTTTAATGTGAGGTCAGAGGTCAAAACACCAATGTGAAACCCCTCCAAGGTCAGTTTACACTGTGTGTGTGTGTGCGTTCCTCAGCTGTTGGCTTCAGTTGAGTTAACGGTATGCCACAGGGGGGCAGATTTATAAAAGTAAGTCCACCTCACCACACAAACACACACATTTGCGCTCTAGATCAATGCCACTGTCATTTTAGATATTTCAGAGCTGAGAAAGCAACACATATTGTGCATATCATATAAGCCACCATAACACATGCACACGATACTGGAATGTATGAATTAATGGGGCTTTCCAACGCTTCTGTGATACAGCTTCCAAAAATGTCTTAGTATCCCCTTACAGTTGTATTTATATCCATGCATTTATATCTGTGTGTGTGAACAGGGGTGGAGTTTGTCAGATTCCATTGGAGTCTCTCTCTTGGAGTGTCAGTTACTCTCTACTGTGTGTTTGATTCCACCTGGCCCCTTACCCATCTCTGGCCCGGTAGCTTTACTTTCAGGGACGGTGAAAAGGAGAATCAGAGATGGAAAAGAGAGGAGATGTCATGTTGGGGGTCGAGGATGAATCCGGGCAGCCGGTCTCGGCCCTGTCGATTCTCTCTCTGCTGGAACGCGTGTCTACGATCATCGATGGTGTCCAGGCGAGCCAGCAGCGCATGGAGGAGCGACAGCAGCAGCTCGAAAGCTCTGTGAGCGCTGTCCAATCCGAGCTTATTAAACTGGCTCGTGACCATGGCGCCACAGCAACAACCGTTGACAAACTGCTGCAGAAAGCCCGTCGCGTGAGCACGCACGTTAAAGAAGTCCGTTCACGTGTGGAGAAACAGAACGTGCGTGTGAAGAAGGTGGAAACTACACAGGATGAGCTTCTCACACGCAACAAGTTCAGGGTTGTTATCTACCAGGTAAACCCATTGCTAACCACTGCATGCGTGTTAAGGTGCGGTCACATTAGCGACATTTTGGTGAAATTCCACAGGCAAAAAAGGTCCATTGTCTATTGTCAATAATTTAGCACTTTATGAAGCACAGCTCACACAGAAGTCACCTTCAAACAAAGCAGCTTTTTGTTGGTCAACAACTTGAACCTGTTGTGAAATCTTTCGTCTTCATACAAAATTCCTGATTACTTGAATTCCTATTGAAGTGATTGGATTTCACTCGTGAAAATTCACCAAACTGTAAATGTGATAAAACTTTTTGGGTGATTGATGGTGAAGCTCAATCCTTTTGGCATTTAACAGCAGGTTGGCTCTGTAATCTCACAATGACACCTGCTGAATTAGCAATAGAGCACTTGAGAATTTCCTTTCTAGAGCTGATTGGCTACCTATTTATGTTAGTGTGTCAGATGACAATAAAGATATTTTTGATATGTTCATTCAAGAGTGATACTGGACCTCAACCACCACAGATACAGATTAGTAGTTGTAGTCCAATGTGGTTTATCAATGATCTATTCTTAAACTATTACATTTGGTGCCCCCAATCCTAAACGTGCTGTTAGGGATGGACACAAATTATGTTCAATTATTCTTATTGGCATAGCACAAATGCTGGCAAATTGTCTATTCGACTCCTCACACCTCCTTCAATATACAGAATAAATAATTAGAGAAAATGTGTTACAAATTTGTCTAAATTAGGCTGTTAGTGTGTGTGTGTGTGTGTGTGTGTGTGTGTGTGTGTGTGTGTGTGTGTGTGTGTGTGTGTGTGTGTGTGTGTGTGTGTATGAGAGTGTGTTTGTGAGTAGTTATTTTGGGCTTTCCTTATATAGAGCTGCTGAACACAGCTGAAGAGACTCTTTAAGGCTATTCCCTGTATAGGGAGTTTATTCATACACATACATAGACATCCATTCTTACAGACTGAAAAAATGTCTCTTGAGAAGGGTAGTCTCAAGTAAGCAGACTTTAGACTGGCATAAAATCTAGTCCACTTTGCTTGTGATGACCAAGAACCACCCACTTAAACAGGATGAGATTGTCTGACTTACATTGACGTGGTTTACAGTGAATTTAGAACAGCTAAGGGATGCTGTTAGGCACGATGTGGATTGGAGATGTATGTTTGTAATTTACAACAGATTTGAACGCTGCTTAACTAATCAGAATCAAGGACCGGAACTATCCGTTTTATAAAAAGTGTCCAGCTAAACCTATATGAGTAAAATTTTACCTAACGGGATAATTCAGACAAAAATTTAAATTCTGTCATCATTTACTTACCTTCATGTCGTTCCAAGAAGATTTTTTTTTCCTTACAATGAAAGTCATTGGGGTCTAATGTTGTTTTGGACTCCACTGACTTTCATTATATGGGCAAAACAGTTAAAAATATTCTTCAAACTAAAATATTCTTCTAGTAATTGATGACACAATTTAAACATTTTAAGTGAACAATCCCTTTAAGAGTTGTATTCTGTAACTGAACCAACATTTTACACCCAACACCTGAAATGTAGGCTGTCTGTTATTGTTTTGGTAAGAGCAAGAGAGCTAAAGCTCAACATTCATATTTATGCTTTAATGTAATACATCTAAATAGAAATTTGCATTTAAATCTTAAAGGGTTTACCCAAAAATGAAAATTCTGTCATTAATTACTCACCCTCATGTCGTTCAAAACCGTAAGACTTTCGTTCATCTTCAGAACACAAATGGACACAAAATGAAATCTGAGATCTTTCTGTCCCTCCTTTGACAGCCTATGCATCTACCACGTTCAAGCCCCAGAAAGGTAGTAAAGACATTTTTAAAGTAATCCATATGAATTTAGTGGTTTAACCTCAATTTTATGAAGCGACTCAAGTGCTTTGTTTGCACAAAACACTTGTTTACCACTTTATTTACAAAATCTCCAATGTGCGTTCACGCAACAATGTCTGCTCTCGGGTCCACACAACACGCATGCGTCGTGGTGCTCTCATGAACGCACGTTAGATATTAATACTTTGTAAATAAAGGGGTAAGTTATGTTTTGTTTTTTTTGTTTTTTGCACAAACAAAGCACTCGCATCACTTCATAAAACTGAGGTTAAACCACATGGGCCACATGGAATACTTTTATGATGCCTTATCTTTCTGAGGCTTGAAAGTGGTAGTTGCGAAGGCTGTCAATGGAGGGACGAAAGGTCTCAGGTTTCATTTTGTGTTCATTTGTGTTCCAGAGATGAACGAAAGACGAAAGAGTAATTCATGACAGAATTGGCATTTTTGGGTTATCTAACTCTTTAATAAATAATTAAATCCAAATATGTTAATATTGAAATTGATGTTAGGTAATCAGCATAATGACTCTTGCATCTTGTTGAGTTTGACATTGTTGCAAGAAAGCATAACAAATCGGAGTTCTTCTCCATGACCTTCTAGGAGTGGGTAAAGAGTGTGTTTTCTAGTGAATAATAGTCTCTCCTGTGTGTCACCGCAGGGTGAAACTGAAGTTCCCTCTGTTGCTGTCACCAAGACTCCCAAGGGTGCAGGGCTTGCTAACTTGGAGGTGGAGCCAGATGAGTATGAGATCCCTGCTGACCTATCATCTGATGAAGAGTACATGGTGGTAGAGGAGGCGGAGTCATCCCGGGGCGCACGTCTGAAACAGAGCGGCTTGAAAGGCATTGAGAACATCAAAGCTGCGTTCTCCAAAGAGAACATGAGCAAGACCCGCGATAAGACGCGGGAAAACCTAAGCAAGACCAAGGAGAGCCTGAGTAAGACGGGCCAAACGCTTGGAACCAAATTCAACACCTTTGGTGAGAAGATCGTGCCCCCCGAGCAGCGAGAGAAGATGCGTCAGAGCAGCGAGAGGCTGAAGGAAAACATTGCTAAGAAAGCACCCACTAAAGAATCGTTCAAAATCAAACTGAAGAAGGAACGCACTGTCGCTGAGGGCCAGGAAGGTGCAGAGGGGGAGCCAGCTGTGACTCCTCCCAAAGGCAGGAAGCCCAGCCCAGATGTGACATACACAGAGGTGGTTACCGAGATCAAGAGGGAGGGTCCAGTATCAGAAGAGGGGGCGACTCGTATTCAAGATGACTGAAAAAGGAAATTCACCATAGAAACTGTGGAGAAATGGATGGAACAAAACAGATAAAATGCAGAGGAAGTAATTGGAAGTGGAAGAAAGAGGAGAATTTTTCATAAAATGTGCTCCAAAATGTGAGAGTGTATGAGTATGTGTGTTGGGTAGCCAAATTAATTAATAGTGCTAGCACTATTAATGTTTGTGTCATTTCTGTTACCATAAGCCACATGTGAAATGTATTAAAATGTGAAAACATATCCTGTCTAATGTGTCCTTTTACTCATTTGCAATTTGTGTTTTGATTACCATGTAAAGAGCAGATGACTCTGTCCAACACACTGGTAGTTACGCTGCGGGGACTGAACCTCAGAAGGCCAGAGAACATTTGAATCTCCAAACATTCATGTTCATACACACGCCAACATCATAGAGACAGAGACTGGCAGAGTGAAAGAAAGATTGACCCATCAGCCAAAAAAAGATCTCTTGGAATTAATCTCAACAGCTGAGCGACTCTGCCCAGCTCATAGTAACCCAACATAAAGCATACTCTGACTCACGGTTTATCTAAGAAACAGAATACAAGCATTCTAATTTTTCAGTTAAGCTTTTCACTCAAATATTTTTTTCTGATGTAAATGTGTGTGTGTGTGTGTGTGAAAGAAAAATAAGTAATAGTATATAATATACACAACTTTTCAAAAGTTTAGGGTCAATAAGATTTTTAAGAAATTGTATTCATCTATATTTAGCAATGAGGCATTTTAACTTAATCAGAAGTGACAATAAATACTTTTATAATAAAAAAACTATTTTCAAACTTTCTATTCATCAAAAAAACCTTGAAAAAAAATGCATCATGGTTTTCACAAAATTATTACAACCATTTTCAACATTGATAATGTTTGAGCACCAAATCAGCATATTATAATAATTTATCATGTGACACTGAAGTACACATGTATCATGTTTCACATAATGAGAATTCAGCTTTGCATACGAATAAATTCAATTTTTAACTATATTAAAATAGAAAGTTATTTGAAATTCCAATAATAATTCACAATATTACTATTTTTATTGTATTTTTAATAAATACAGCCTAAGAGACTTTTTTCAAAAACATTACTGAGCCCAAACTTTTGAACAGTATGTATCTATTCTTTTTTTTTTCCTTCATAATAAATATATAGGCTACACCACCGTTCCAAAGTTATACATTATTAAGATTTATTCATGTTTCATAAGTCACTTATGCTCACCAAGGCTGCATTTATTTGATCATAAATACAGCACAAACAGTGATATTAACCTTTTTTTTATTTGAATATAATTGAATATGTATTTTTTTCCTGTGTTGGCAAAGCTGAATTTTTGTAACACTATACACTACCATTCAAAATTTTGGGGTTAGTTAGAATAATAATAGTTAAAATAAAGAAATTAAAGAAATAAATACTTGCATTCAGCCGCAGGGTGGATTAAATTGTTCAAAAGTAACGACATTTATAATGTTACAAAAGCTTTCTATTTCAGATAAATGCTGTTCTTTTGAACTGTCTATTCAGCAAAAAAGGTTTTCAACATTGATAATAATATTAAATGTTTCTTGAGCAGCAAATCAGCATTAGAATGATTTCTGAAGAATCACGTGACACTGAAGACTGGAGTAATGATGCTTTGCCATCACAGAAATAAATTGCATTTTTAAAATATAATCAAATAGAAAACATTTATTTTAAATTAAAATATTGCTGAATATTGCTCTATTTTGGGTCAAATAAATACAGCTTTGGTGAGCAGAAGAGACTTTTCTTTTAACATTAAAACACGTTTGCACGATAATGTATGGTAAAAAATAAATAAAATAAATAGATAAGCATTTCTTAAACTTTGACTATGTGTCTATTCATGGATCAGACAGGAATGTAGAGAGATAAGAATACAAGCATAACCTTGTCTGTAGTAGCACCGTTTCTTCTCCGCTCCAGCGCGTGGCAGCACTATGAGATTCTTGCACAAAACGTTCAGTCAAACAGTCATATTAAGAGTCTTGGCTTGCTATTACCGTTTTATTTACAAGTCACATATGTTATATCATTCATTATTGCTCATTGTTTATTATCATCCGTCACTATTCAGTACTATTATTTTGTTTCCTATCATGGCCATCATCGTGTCTGACGTCATTCTTGGCGACAGTAACTACAACATCCTGAGTCCCTATGTAACGTTAGCCTGCCGCCTGCGGGAAACGACCTGACAAAAATACACAGAGTAGGATAAATATGTGTGTATACATAGCTATAATGTGTAATTAAGCTTTAAACCCCTTTTGTCTTGCCAATAAAGCTTTTTGAATGTGAACAGTGAGAGAGAGAGGGATGGCGGAGGAGGAAGAGCGCGGACCCGGTTCGGTCCATCAGACGTTCGTGCTAATGGAGGATCTGCTGGATAAACTCAAAGTTCTGGATTATGAGCAGCAGGTTCTGGACAAACACAACATCAAACCTCTGTCCAGGTGATAGATTCAGAATCGCTACTTTATATGTGGATTATAAGGCATGATCATGTTTTATATGCTGCCTTCACGTGCTATCGGAATTATCGTAAAAACTATTAACGTTAGTTTCCTAGTTTAAAAATTGGACATGAACGCCCTCTCAAGTTAAAATTTGAATGCTATGAACTCGGAATAATCACAACTGGAAAGTAGGAAATTTCCAATAGCACGTAAAGGCAGCAATAGTATATAACAGTTACTTTTTTCATTGTCACTTAGGCTATGTAACAAATTTATTTTGGTTTATGCTATTTGTGCATTATTTTGTGTATTTATTCTTGACACATTCTCACATTGTTTTAATTTGCTGTTATCTGCTTGAGATTTGAGTTTTTTTTTGTCAGCATCATTAAAACTCGTCATTCTTTGCATTTGCTTGGTTTCTGTTTTTTATATACATTTCACAATATATGAATATTATTTCTGGCTAATATTAATAATAATATCCATAATATTGGCCCAGTTGTGGGTGAGTTCTGGGGGGTTAAGGTGGTGGCAGTTTGGCTCTTTTCTGGCTGACATCTGGGGATTCTGGCACTGTTGTGGGTGGGCCAGTTATGGCTGATTTCTGGGGGCATGGAAGAAGTTGTGGGTGAGTTTTGGTCTGCTTCTGGCATGGATCTAAACTCACAGCCGAAATTCAACTAGATTCCGCCCAATACTAATTTGCTATCTGTGAAGAATTATCTAATAATAAAATCTAGGCTAAATCACATTGTATATTTTAATCTTGTCCTCATAGAGACTTATAAACTTATTAAGAGTAAACTTAAATAAATAAAATAAAAATAAAAAGAATTTGTGTCTAGTACTAGAACATCTGAAGCAATTGCAATCTGACATGACATGGGTTACTTTTAGGTAAAATTCTAGAAATCAATTCAAAATCAATTAAATCTGTATACTGGTTCAGTGTTTCTTCTCAAACAGATTTGTTCAAATACATGTTTTCTCCATTTTTCAGGCATTATTTTGTCTCTAGCCCTCACGTGTTGTCAAATCCCGGAGAGCAGTTCTATATGTTCAGTGTAATTGCCGCCTGGTTGATTTCCCTGTGTGGACGGCCGTTTGATGCACCGCAGGAGTACGACGACCCCAATGCCACCGTCTCCAACATCCTGTCTGAGCTGCGTGCCCTGGTCAGACATTATCACAGTGATGACACCCTCAAAAGTTTGCGTAGATGCATTTGGGTTTCATGATTATCACTGTATGTGTGTGAATGTGTGTGTGCTTATAGGGTGGCCAGGTTGATTTCCCCCCATCTAAGCTGAAGTCTGGATCTGGAGAGCATGTCTGTAATGTTCTAGACCAGCTGGTAGAAAAAGCACTAAAGAGTAAAGGATTCATCTGGAACAGGTACACATATACATATACGTGAGCTGAATGCAGGTTGGGATGATGTTCTTTGCTACTTTAGTTTTAATATCAATCTTGTTGTTGTAGGACCACAAATTTCTCCAGGGTTCACAAACTTTCTGTTCCCACTATACACACACACAATAACACAGCTGGTGTTTTCTCTTTATCAGGCCTCTGTACCCATCTGTGGAGGTGGAAGATGATTGTGTGCAGGAAGATGATGCTGAGCTCACACTCAGTAAAGTGGAAGAAGAGATGACAGTGAGTCACACTTAAACTTTATTCTAAGCTAAGCTTTCCCTTCCTGAGTTACTGCTGCTATCTGTCACGCTCTCCTGTTAGCAGTTTTTTTCACTGTTGTAAATTGGATTGAGTAATCTAGCTCAGTGACAGTGACAGTGAATCACACACACACACAAACTCATGTGTAAAGTGAATCACACATACACTCATTAAAAATGTGGATCTTCAGCAGGAGGATGAGGAGTATGAGGAAGAGGACGGACTTGATTTAGATGCACTGAAGACCAGAACCAATCAGAGTGTGAGTTTTATATGAAATATTGGCATGTGCAATTTATATAGTATTATACTATATGGTCTTTCTGAATTCTCAATTCTGATTGGCTGGAAGGTGTGCATTAAAACAGGTAATGCACAGGTAATTCCAGTCAGTTTAATTACCGTTCTATATCAATGCGCTGTTTTCATTGTAGCACACACACAATCACTTGCACATTGAGATCGGAGATCGCGCTGCACACAGAAACGTATCACTGCCCGCAAATTTTAATAATAAAAAAGCTCCACTACTGAATCGCTACAGTATTTCTCAGCATTAAATTTCTCTCTCTCTCTCTCTCTCTCTCTCTCTCTCTCTCTCTCTCTCTCTCTCTCTCTCTCTCTCTCTCTCTCTCTCTCTCTCTCTCTCTCTCTCTCTCGATAATTAATTTAAATAAATGCTAATTCATTCATTCAAATAAATGTGATCTTACAACACTGCTTCATCTCTGTGTCTTATTTAAAGCAAGCAGAATGCTAATGATCCGTAACACAAAAATAACCCTCATTTTTACTCTTATAATAATATAATATTGTGCTGCAAACATCATTAACATCTTTAACTTGTCAATGCTGGCAAATGACCATGGTATAAGCGGGAAATCCACGGCTAGCTGTGCATTAAATGATTTGAATGGACTCCACGCCGTGCATTAAAATAATTTGATGCACAGCTAGCCGTGGATTATCCCTTACATATAATATAAACGTGAAAGTAGTAATGACTTTCTTTTTTTGGAGATTGTAAGTTGTTCCATATGAGAGGTTATATTTGTGTGTGTGCTACAAAGCATGAAAAGCCCAGTCTTTTATACTAGTTAGGAGGGATTTTTATTAATAACTTAAAGAACTAGTACATAACATTTTACCCAGGATGTACAGTAAAAGTCAACTGGTAGATATATGTGTGTTTAGGAGCTCAGTGGTTCAAGGCCTGCAGTGGTTCTGGAGTCAGATGTTGATGCTGCTGAGTGGAATCTAGAGGTGGAGCGAGTTCTTCCACAACTTAAAGTCACCATCCGCACCGACAACAAGGTTTCAAATTCCTCAACCTTTAATCGCTGTATCTCACCTGCATGGTGATGGAGAGACTCTGATTGGCTGAATATGGAGTAACAGGTTACTGTGTTTCAGGATTGGAGGATTCACCTTGATCAAATGCATCAACATCAAGATGGCATCAACACGTCCTTGCACGACGCCAAGGTCATCCATCCATAACAGATGTTCTTAAAAATAATTTTAAAATAGACAATAATGTGAAATATTAAACCTATATATATATATATATATATATATATATATATATATATATATATATATATATATATATGTGTGTGTGTGTTTTCAGGGTTGTCTGTTTAAGCTGAGGGAGGACATCAGTAAAACTCTGGAGAAAGTGAGCAGTCGTGAGAAATATCTCAATACTCAGCTCGAGCATCTCATTTCAGAATACCGCCAAGCACAAGCACAGCTCAACAAGGTGAACATCTTGACCAATCAAAACCCCAAAATGTATTACTTACCCTCAACCAGTCAAACACAGGATGGTCAAACGCATGTTACCCTCAACCAATCAAAACACAGGGTGGTCAAACACATGTGTTTTTGTTCGTCAGGTAAAAGAGCTTTATCAGCAGGCCAGTGGAGGCGTCACAGAGAGAACCAGGATTCTGGCTGAGGTGAGTCTAAAAAAACAACGCTATTGCAAGAGTCACAGAATATTAGCATTACAATGATTTGACCATCTTTTGGTTAATTAAAATTAAAAAGCCTCAGTGTTTTTAATAAATGAATGTACACAGCCTTACTATGTCCACGTAGCCACACAATATTCAAATAATGTATATATATATTTGTGCTTAAGATCAGTGAGGAGCTAGAGAAAGTGAAACAGGAAATGGAAGAGAAAGGCAGCAGCATGTCTGATGGAGGTAAACCGCACGCACAACAAACACTCTTTCCCCCTACTGATGGTGCCGTTTGTTTATGTGAGCTGGAGTTTATGCTTGTCCATGTGTTTTGTGATGCAGCTCCAGTGGTGAAGATCCGTCAGAGTTTGACCAAGCTGAAGCAGGAGATTGAGCAGATGGATGTTCGGATGGGAGTGGTGGAGCACACGTTACTACAATCCAAACTCAGAGAGAAAAACAACATGACCAGAGACATGCATGCTACACACCTATTAGAGCCCAACGCACAGACTTACTGAGTCAAACTCAGAGCTGGTGATGTTGTGTGTTGGTTATATTTTATATAAATATTTTGTTGGGTTTAAATGTGTTTTTAAGTGTAAATAACAAAATAAATAATATTGAACAATAAAATAAATATTCTCACTAGAACAGTGAGAACTCTCAGAGTTTTATCTTGCGTAACCGTCCCCAGAGAATGAGTTCAGCATTACACACACATGTAACTGTTCCATGATGTCATCCTCACAGATTGCAGAGAAACACTAGAGATTATTCATTTGCACAAGCTCAATTTATCAGTCCACATCCTCAGGAAACATTTGTTGAGTCTGTGTTTAGCCTAAAAACAATACTTGCTGAAATTCTCTCTTTTGAATTGTAATATTTATAGGACTTCTCAAGTAAAAAAGAGTACTAACAGCAACTGTAAAATGGTGTAATAATCAACTATTCAACTGAATTTTCCTAACTGGGAATTTAAATGATGAATAATTAATCCCTGGAACCATCTACAAACTTATAACTTGTCTTTTATCTGACACATGCACTAAAAGCTGAAATAAAATCAGAATTACAGTTCCAGAACTGTATCAGTCTTTGTACTTTTGAGATTCTGAGCCTGAATATCTGGTGCTCCAAAAGCTCGGACATTTACTTTTAAAGGGATAGTTCATTAATCGTCTATTCACCCTCATGTCTTTTTAGAAGAATATTTTTGTCCATACAATGGAAGCCCATTTCTGCCTCAAAACTTTGATAAATCATATTTATGATGCAAAGTCATTATGTAAAATCATGATATACTAAGTCATAATTCTGAGACAAAAAGTAGAAAATTGTGCGATACTAATTCATAATTATGCAATAAAAAGTCTAAATATGACAGTATGACTTTGACATTTTATGTCACTTTTATCTTATAAGATAAAAAATAAAATAATATATTTGTCATAATTGACTTTTTCATAATTGACATTTATTTGTATAGCGTTTTTGACAATAAATGTTGTTTCAAAGCACAAAATGCATGTTTTTACATTACAATTTAGAGTAATCTGTTATAAGAGGTGACTTTGTCAAAGTAATATCCATAAGTCAGAAATGTACAGTTCTATGTACAGATAATACAAGTCATGCAGTTAGCTAACATCATATATTCAATTAGACAAAAACAATGAGCTCATTAAAGCAATTATTATCTATTGATTGATAATTATGACTGTCATAATTATGATTTTTTATTTCGTAGCTGGGACTTTTTGTGTCACCATGTCGACTTTTTTATGTCATTACTATGATTTACAATTTTATATACATTTTTATTTTTTATACATATATATTTTATTCGGTTTATTACCGACATTCTTCAAAATATCTTCTTTTGTTTTCAGCAGAAGAAAGACATACAGGTTTCTATTTTTACAGCCTATGGTTTTGAATGCCGTCAGTAAATGATTTTCATTTTTGGGTGAATCTTGTCCAAAGTGAGATATAAATACATAATTAATTTCTAAATACGATTAATTTGGTCAAATATTTTTTGCATTACTGGTGTAATATGCACTATTCTTCAGAGAAGTTTTGTTTCGAACAGCGTTGTTTTGATCTCTCTCTCTCTCTCTTCTCTCTCTCTCTCTCTCTCCTCTCTCTCTCTCTCTCTCTCTCTCTCTCTCTCTCTCTCTCTCTCAGACTGTAGGCGTGGTTCTTCATGCATGCCAATGTTTGTAAGTAAGCGGACAGACAGCACCGCTATCCGCATTCTCCTTGGTTTAGGTAAGTGTTGTTTTTCTCCTCTTTTTTAATCGTATTACTTCTATATGTGTTGTGCAGTTACGTTAGATACAAGGCAGATTCAGCGCTAAATAATGTGTCGAGAAGAAACCGGATGTTAGTATCCCATTACGCTTCAGCACAATCACCTTATATATATATTTTTTTACACTTATATTTTAGATTTATGGAATTGTATGTTTACCATATACAATATAAACTCTCAGATCGATATGTGTGTGAATGTGTCTCGCGCATCGTAACTGCTGCAGGCCGCGTAACAAAGACTCGAGGAGCGTCTGAAACTGAACGCAGAACTAAACAGACTGGGCATTAAGATAACGAGCACGCCAGATGTCGTTTAAATTACTTTTTTAAAATTATTATTCTGAGTTAAATAACAGTAATTATTCTGTTATTCCCTTCAAATTAATCTTGTAATCATTATTATTATTAATATTAAGTCAAATTATTTATGAAAACTAGACCATTTTATTTAATAAAAAAGGTAAACCAAAGTGCTGTACATTAAGATTTTTTTTTGAGAAGTAAAAACAAGTAAATAAAGAAATCTCAGAAAACATAAAACAACTAAAAGAACTGAGAAATAGACTATGCATCAAATATTAATATTAGAAACATCAACATATTTTTTTCTCTTAAGTCTTAAATGGGTTAAATGACAATTTCTCATTAAATAATTAAGTATATAAGAATGGAAGTAAAGCCAACATAAATCAATTGTTATTCAGAGCTTATCTATGAATCTCTGTGTGCATGTGTGGTTGGCATGCATTTCAGTAATGCTTGATATTGCAGCAAGCTACTCATTTCACTGAACACTCTGCTGCAATATCAACATTTCCTCATAGTTTGCCTTGTTTTTAATGTATTTGCAACTTTCAGTAATACTAATAATGTTGTAATGTTAATCTTGTAGTCCTTGTGTTTCTATCGCACAGAGACTACAGGAAATGCGTGTGAGGGTTTTGGGGACTTACTGTTCAAACGTTCAAACGCAAACATAAATGAAAGAAGTGTGTCATGTGATCACTCTGGGAACTGATTTTTGAGAAAACAAAAAAGCTGCTTTCTGTGAGAGAGAGAGAGAGAGAGAGAGAGAGAGAGAGAGAGAGAGAGAGAGAGAGAGAGAGAGAGAGAGAGAGAGAGAGAGAGAGAGAGAGAGAGAGAGAGAGAGAGAGAGAGAGAGAGAGAGAGAGAGAGAGAGCGTGCATGGATTATTGTGCTCCCTCCTCATTCGTTGCCGTTGGTCTCCTCAGCTTCTCTGATAGCAGCTGCAGCAGAACACACATGCATGACACTCTGATCAGCCAATCGTTTATCTCCAGGCAGGAAGTAGTTAACAGGAAGTACAGTAACTGGTCTCCGCCTACTTTGCCAGCATCATCCCCTTTTGGATCATCATGGCTCCCTGATTCCCCCTCCCTTTACATCCTGTCAGACACCCCTCCCCATTTTTCATTCAATGATTCATTTTATTTCATGAAATACATGTATTTTTGTACATTTGATCTACAAATATTATCTAGAAAAAACAATAACAAAACCATAAGTAATAAATACACCATAAGTTATAGTCTTTCCTCTCATTTGACCTAATTTCTTTAGACATCCATAACAAAAAAAAAAACATGCCTGTAATTCCATTTCCATGTCATAATTTTAAATTGATATACATTATATTTTATTTTACTACATATTTAATCCGTAACCATTTATTTTTTGTTTTTTTGTAAAATACTGTGATTTTCTTTTTTAATTAGGGCCCAAGCCCAAAGGGCGAAGGCCCTATTGTTTTCCTTAGGATTATTTATTATTATTATTATTATTATTATTATTATTATTATTATTAGGGCCCAAGCCTTGAAAAGGCGAAGGCCCTATTGTTTTCCTAAGGATTATTTTTTTTTTTTTTTTTTTTCTCCTCTTTTATTTTTCTTACGACTATTCGGGCACTTTTGGGGCTCTTAACGTGCACGAAAACTCTTGAAACTTTGCACGCGGGTCAGAACCCGCGGCCATCAGGGTCGGGGTGAAGATGGTACCCGGGCGTGGCAGGGGGGCTCGACAGCGCCCCCTGGAACGGGGTCCGAAAACTTGGTCCATAAATCAAACACGCTTGTATGTAAGAATATGAAACTCAGTACACATATAGATCTCATCGGTTCATATATACTTCATGCTCTTACTTTTTACCCCAGCCCAACAGGAAGTCGGCTATTTAGGGTTGTTTGTAAAACGCATGCAATGGAATTTAAAGTACTTCTCCTAGAGAATTCAAAGAAATGCCTCGAAACTCGGTCAGCATGAAGTCAAGACATTGAGGATGAAAAATTGCGAGGGGATTTTTGATATCTCGAACGGTTTGGCCGTGGCGGGGAAACGAAATTATGGCGAGAAACGTGAAACAGGAAGTGTGTTATAACTTCTGCATACATTAACTGATCTTGATGAAACTTCACCAGTGTGTTCGCTGTAAGAGGCCGATCACATGGATGTGACTATTGTGAGTCAAAGTTATAGCGCCACCAACTGGCAGCAGGAAGTGTGTCACTTTCAAAATGCTTCGAAATCACCCTCTTATTTTAACCCAATTTGCTTCAAACTTCATCTGTATAATGTAAACATACGCCAGATGTAGACCTGTGAATGGATTCTTGATATCTTTGATACTGTTGCCGTGGCAACACATCAAACTTTAAAATTCTTTTTTGATGCTTTTGAGACTCTTAGCATGCTTGAAATTGCATGAAACTCGACAGACATGTCACATATATTAGCCAGTAGACATGTGCAAAGTTTCAGGAACGGGCGTGGTGCAGGGACTCAGTAGCGCCACCTTTTGACAAAAGTGAGAGGGTTAGTTTCATAGTTTTACCTGCAATCTTAAAACTCGGTAAGCATATTGTTCAGATCAAGCCGGACAACTTTCTAATTTACAGTTTTTGGTTCCGAACAACAGGAAGTCAGATATTTTGGTTTGAATGGGATGTTTTGGAGTAATCTCTGTCCCTCTCTCCCTCTCTCTGCATACCTCTGTGTCTGTGGGGGGAGGGGGATGTGTCTGTTTGAGTGACAAAGCTTTTAATTATTGTTGATCAAGGTTTCGGGGGCTTTTGGGGCCCTTAACATCCTCTAAAACTCTTGAAACTTTGCACACGGGTCAGAACCCGTGGCCATCAGGGCCGGACTGAAGCTGGTACCCGGGCGTGGCAGGGCGGACCGACAGCGCCCCCTGGACTGGGATTCGAACACTTGTCCATAAATCAAAGACACTTGCATGTAATAATATGAAACTGTGTACACTTATAGATCTCATTGGGTTAAACAACTTTCGTGCTCTAAGTTTTACGACATCCCAACAGGAAGCCGGCTATCATGGTTTGTTTGGAAACGCATACCCCTGAAATTCTATTTAATTCTCCTTGGGAATTGATTGGATTTCAAGCAAACTCGGTCAGCATGACGTCAAGACATTGATGATGCTAAATTCCGGAGGGATTTTTGATATCTCGAACGGTTTGGCCGTGGCGAGGAAATTAATTTTATGACTAAAAAAGGACACATAAAGTGTGTTATAACTTTGCTCGTTTTACCTACAGTTACAAAACTTGCCACGCATATTGTTCTCATCAAGCCAATCGACTTTCTAATTTAAAGTCATTAGCTCAGAGCAACAGAAAGTCAGATATTGTAGTTTGAATGGATTTCTTGTCCCCCTGCCATTCTGTTTGTGTGTGTGTCTGTGTGGGGAGGGGAGCAGAGGGGAGGGGAGGGAGGGAGGGTTGGTGTCTGTGTTTATGTGTGTGTGTGTGTGTGTGTGGCTGGCTGTATGATTTTTCCTGCATTAAAGGATAAAGAAATCTCTAAGTCCTTGTCTTTTCGCATAACAATTTTTGTATTTTTTTTTAAATGACAAAATATGCATCACTCCTCTTAAGTGGTTTATTTTATTCCCACCAAACTTTTTCAACATGATGAAAATACATTAAAGAAGCATAATTGTGAATATCTATTGAATATCTCTAATTGTTTTGCTATGGCGAGGGATTAAAGTCATGTAAAAAAAAAAAAAAACACTAAAAGCTTCATATCTTCTAAAAATGTAATTATACACCATTTATTTCTAGATAAAATTATACAAATATCAGAACTAAACCCATTTTATTCTTGTTTTCAATTTAAGAATAATGTACAAGTTTAAAAACAGCCAGGATGCACTATTCAGTTAAAAAATAAATATATCAAATAATACATAGGGCTATACTGCCCTCTTGTGTTCAAAATCAGGTAGGCCTGTTGTATTTAAATATAGGTAGCTGCTATGTGACTCCGAGAATTTTTTCTCACCGGTTATTTGACGTGTAACACCGGGGGCTTTTATATCGCTAAGTTAAAAGTGAAAGTAAAGTAAGGACATTTATAGTGGTGGCGCTCGCAGTGCGCTCGAATGAATTTCTATGGAAGTAGAAATGAAAAAACGTTCGCTCTGTTTTGCTCGCTCGTCGCCATGGATGCGCACTGTAATGAATGCCACTGCAGCCGCATACTTTTTAGTGTCACTTTAAAATTAGTGCAATATCGGGGGCCAATTGCTTGAATTGTGAGTTCAATAGTCTATTATTTTTCACGGAAAACACAACAACAAAAGAGTACAATGACAGATTCGCTTAAATAGGCGCTTTTACATAAAATAGCCTATTCCGTCATCATCTTTTCAGTCAGCACTTCACTCTCGTGATTAATGAAATTTATTGCTGATATTTGCTGCAACTTTCGTTCCGCTCACAATTTAGTAAGCAAACACGCTTCAAATGTGTTTTTATTTTATTTTTGTGTATATATATGTGTGTGTATATATATATATATAGCTTATGTTTCAAATATGAGTTAATTAACAATCGTTTGAAAGAATGATACTTTTAAACATATCACTAAACCATCATTAGGTGTCGCCAGGCGACCGTCTTAATGAGCGAGTC